GACACATTGTCTGCACCTGCTCCAAGTCGAGCAACGTTGTCTCGTGCTGCGCGCGTAGCGTCTCGTACGACGTCTCGAGCCGGGCGTGGGCCGTTTCGAGCGTATGATGCGCCTTGAGCAACTCGTGGTGGGCTTCCTCGAGCTTCGAGTCGGCGGTCGTTGCCAGCGCCGGCGTCCGCCCGCGCGCCCGCGCTTGGTTGACGACCGACAGCAGTTGCATTTCGGCAACCTTACGCTTGTGGCGGTCGTTGGTCGACGTGACGTCGGTTTGGAGCTGTGCCATCTTCTTGGCACTTTGCTCCAGCGAGTCTTCGAGGCTGTTGACCACCTGCTCGAGCTCGTGGATCTCGTTCAGAAAGTACGTGCGCACAAAGGCGTCGATCGCGCCTAGCCGGTGGGCCATGTCCCGCAGATGCGCGGCGCCGGCAGTCGTCGATGTCGCGGCCGCAAGGTCCTCAATGCCGCTCACAAGAAGCGCCACGGCCTGCACCGACACGTCGCGCGCCAGCTTGGAGTTGTTGAGCGTGTCGTGCTCGTCCAGCATGCCCGAGATGATGGTTTCAAGGAGGTCGTTCATGGCCGCGAGCACGCTATCGACAGCCGCCTCGCTCGATGCAGCAGCGTCCTCAAACGGGCAAAGAAGGGCTTGGAACTCGGTGAGCGCGCTTCTATCAAACGGCACAAGCCGCAGCTTGGGGTCGATCTTGAGCACCCCCGAGACGCGCCGCATCTCGAGGAAGCCCGGGCGCTTGATTTTGTCCTTGAGCGACGAGAGGCGACGACGGCGCATCGTCTTGTGGGTCGCCTCTTCTTCAATCGGCAGCGAAAGCTCGTCGTCATTGTGGTTCGACGGGCGCGACATGCGTGCCGAGCTGCAGCTGCCGTCCGCAGACAACGCGAGGCTCGCGCGGCGCGGCAGTGGCGCGTGGTGGTCCTCTCGGATGATCGCCGCCAGCGCTGCCTGGGCGTCCAGGTCGTCGTCCGGCTCCATGGACAAATCGAAAAAAAGTACAAAAGTCTTCTCCTGTGAAACCGGCGCCCATTCGGCCTTTGGACAGCATGGGCGCCTGCAGTGGTCACGCGCTCGCGATGGAAGACACGTATACGCTCGAGCCCAACGGGCTCATCGGACGCGGCGCGCATTCCAAGGTCCTGCGAGCAACGCACAAGGCAACCGGCGAGGCCGTCGCCGTCAAGATGCTCTTTGCCAGCACAACGCTCGAGCGCGCCGCGTGGGAGGCCGAGGTGCGGCTCATGAAGCAGCTCGACCCGCACCCCAACATCATTCGTCTCTTCGAGACGTACGAGGCGGTACGCCCCTCTGTTGGATATGGCCACGACAACGGATCTAAATGCAGGAGGAGTATGTCTGCCTCGTCATGGAGCTTGCCGACGGTGGCGAGCTCTTCCAGATGCTCGTGCGGGTGCGACTGCGTGCCTGAGAAGATGTACGATCGGCGCTGTGTGTGCTAGGACGGTGCCTACTCGGAGGCAATTGCGCAGCAGTATGTGCGCGACATCTTGACCGCACTGGAGTACCTCCACGAGAAGGGCATCGTTCACCGGTGCGACGCGATACCGTGCGACAAGCCAACGGAGCATGGTGTAGGGATCTCAAGCCGGAGAATTTACTCCTCACGTCCAAGCACGCTGGCCGCGCCCATGTCAAAGTGGCCGACTTTAGCATGGCTGCCATCGTCACCGTACGTTGGCGACGACGACGAGTAGGACTCTTATGGAAGGCGGCAGAGCAAGCGGCTCGCGGCCAAAGACGGTCTGACGTGGGCGTATTGCGCACCAGAGATTCTCGACGACGACGGCAGTGCGACCAACTACGACGGGAAGAGCGACATGTGGAGCCTCGGTGTCATTTTGTACATCATCCTCTCCGCGGTGCACCCATTCGACCCGGACGGGCGCCACGGCAAAGAGTACGACGGCGCAATGCCTCTCCTTCTAACGCTCACACAACGTAGCAACATCGTCGCGGCCATCCGGCACGGCGAGTTCAACATGAACGGGGTATTGACGCTGAGATGCAACCCAGTTATGTCAAGCAATGGGCTAGGAGGTGTGGCGCGACATTTCTGATGAAGCCAAAGACCTCGTTGCGAAGCTGCTCACAAAGGAGCCATCCGCACGCATCTCGGCGACCCATGCACTCGGCCACCCGTGGCTTTCCAAAACCGACTTGTCGTCACTTCCGCTCCAGTGCTCGTTGCGCGGCAGCCTCACGGCGTACCTCAAGGCCATGCACCAGCGCTTCCGCGTACGGATCACTCGTCGACGAGGCGTCATGCTGATGTAGGTGAGTGTGATTGCGACGATTGCGGCGGCGCGGCTCGCAAGCGCCAAGGCTGCCCCCGTCGACGTGCGCGATGTCATTGTTGCGCAAGCCGACGAAAGCGGCGACGAGCCAAGCGCCGGTGCCGCGCTCACCGCGTCCATCTCGCAGTCGAGCGTGTCATTCAACGCCGCGACCCCCCCGCACGGCCAGTCGTAGCCCTGGTCGTAGCCACCCCATTATTGTCATCTATGCATGCTTTCGAATCGATATAATGCGATCTAGAGTTATATAGTCCACATTTTCAGCAAACCTATCCCTTTTACTAGTACGTGCACAATGTTGTCACCCATGTGGTCGCGTCAAGTTCAACTTGGCTGTCGCGTGCCCTTTCAGCCAAAAGTCCGAATTTCATGCGTGGCGCACTGGCACTCCGGGGCCAACGTCCTAGTTTTGACCTAAAAACCGATTTCCAGCGCCTAATGTCCGAATTGGGTTGCTGGTCCCGGTGCGCCGGGTCGCTGCTGCACTTTCCGAGAGTGCCATAGGAATGCAGGCCGGCGACGACAGCCTCCTGAGCTTTGACGCGCTCAAGGCCGACGAGAAGAACCGCAAGCTGCGCTTGGACCAGGCCGGGAAGAACGCCAACGCGCTCCGACGGGCGGTCGAGAAGCTCGGCAGCGAGGAGCTCGCGCAAGAGATCCAGATCAAATTCCAGGCGCTGAGCCGCAGCATCAAGGACCCCGAGTTTGTCGTTGCCGATGACATGATTAAAGATCTGCTCGAGAAGGACTTTAGCCAAAACGAGATCCGGCAATTGCTGCACGTGGGCTGCGGCCGCATCATCCGCGTCGAGAAGGAGCTCAAGACCGGCATCAAGCAGCCGCTGACCGCGTCGTCGCCCACAAACGCCAACAAGGCGAAACTGGTCAAGCAAAAGGAAAAGCGTCAGCGCACCGTCACGAGCTCGCTCGAGTCCATGTACCCGAACCTCGATGTGCTCCACATGAAGTCGATCAAGTCGCTGCATGTCATGCTCCGCGATAAGCGCTCAACGCACGCGCAGTTCAAGCACTACGCCGACCGTCTCATGCGGTAGACGGCCTCAAACGTCAAGTAGCGAAACCTCATATGGTCTTGCGCTAGGATTCTTGCCGAAGAAGCCCTTGCCGCCTGCGCTGTCGAGCGCTGCACCGTTTGGACGGCCACGGGCGCCGAGTTTTCCGGCCTCCGGCCCAACAACAATGTGTGCGTCGTGTCCATCGTGCGCGCGGGCGACAGTCTTCTCGATGCCGTCTTGCACTGCTCGCCCAACCTCGCCGTCGGCAAGATCCTCATCCAGCGCAACGAAACCACAGTGGAGAAGTCGCCGGTCCTCTTCTACACCAAGCTGCCTCCGCGCATCGCCACGTACGACCGTGTCCTTATCGTCGACCCGATGCTTGCGACGGGCGGCAGCGCCAACATGGCCATCCAGGTACGCCGATGCCTTGACGGTTGCCAACATAGCATGCTCGGTCCTAGACGGTGCTGCAAGCCGGCGTCGAAGAGAGCAACATTGTGTTTGCCAATGTGGTCGCATGCCCCGAAGGCATTCGAGCCATCTTTGCTGCCCACCCCAACGTCACGATCGTCACGGCGGCCGTCGACCAAGAGCTGAACGAGTCCAAGTACATTGTGCCGGGCCTCGGCGACTATGGCGACCGCTACTACGACACAACGTACTGAGGTAGCATGCAATAAGAAGATAAGAAGCGTAGGTAGAGGTCACACGACGAGAGGCGCCTACCGGACATCGCCCGCGCGCTCGGATGCTTCTTGAATGGCATAGATGGTGCGGTCCAGCGTCGGGCAGAGGCGGTCGGGGTCGGGCGACCGCGGGTGCACGGACGCATGAACGTGTAGGGATGGCCACCGGCGCTTTGTGGTCAAGAGCCAGCGCGCAACGGGCGAGAGAACGTGCCACGACCACCGACTGCTGCGTGCGACTGGCGCGGCCTCGCCCGACTGCCGCAGCACGTGGACCGTCACGTGCTTGCGCGAGAAGAAAGCTGTGGTCCACCGTCGGCGCATCTCCTTCCGCGCGTCCGTCATGGCGACTTGCACTGCGTCGCCGTTGAAACTTCGAACGCTTCGAATTTTTATTTTTAGCAACGACCCGCCCGAGTCTCTTTCCCAGTTGAGCTGGTCTGACGACATCGACCAACAACGTCAACCGCCGATTGCATAGACCGTCCTATGACTCATCAAGACCATCGGGTCGTGTGTACACGAGGTGACCGCGTAGGGTCGAAGTGACAGAGACGGGAGCCTCTGAATGGTGGTGCCATATCGCAAAGACTAGAGACGTAGAGAGAGCATCACAAGAGAGACTAGTAGAAGATGGAGGACGCATCGATAACGACGATGGTTACGGCTGTTTGTTTTGCGAAAAGTTGATGTTGTACGAGCCCGTGGCCGGGTCTTGGACCATTTGAAAGTTGTCGGTACTGAGCCCAAACTTGCCAAGAATCGTGTTGCCAAAGCCCTTGAGTTTCTCGAGCATCTCGGCCTTCATCTTTTCCTGGCGCTCCGTCACGAGGGCACTCAGCCGCTTCTCCGAGTCGCGCGCCGACGCAATAGTCGGGTCGATCTCGAGCACGCTCTTGACGTCTAGTCCAACGTTGGCTCCAGAGCATTGCGAGGGTGCGACTACCTTTCAGCGCCTCTTCCAGTTTGTCGAGCTTCTCGTACGCTTGAGCGCGGCGCAAGAATGCCTACAGACACGTTCTCAGCGCCGGCGTCATCGGCGGCGACCGAGCTACCTTGACGTAGGTCGGCGAAAGCTCGATCGCGACCGTGCAGTCCTCAACCGCCTCTTCTTGTCGACCCTAGACCGCGCGTTGCATGTCGTTTCGACAGAAAGAGAGCCGACGCGTACCAAGTGGAACAAGCAGGCCGCGCGGTTGTTCGAGTAGACGGCCTAGACGCATTGACGGTGACAACTGCCCGGAGACGACCAAGCGCGCTGACGTACGCGGTTGTAGGCGTACTCTGTACCGATCGGACACAGTTGCAACGCCTTTGAGTAGCAGTCGATCGCGTCGAGGTACCGCCCTTCCTTGAAGAAGCTACGCACGCCATGAGGTCGGAGCGCTGGCTGCCGTCGAACCTGTTGCCCTCTTCCTTGGCGTCCGAGGCGAGCTTGACGTCCTTTGTCTCGAGGCTCATCTCGTCCATGGCCTTTTCCAGGGCGGGGTTGCTCTCGGCCTCGGCCTCGGCCTTGCGCTCCGGCGCATGCGACGTCTCCTCGAGGATCTCAAAGCGGTCCGCCATCGCCGCCGACGTTCTGTAAATGTCCGGTTGCCATCCATGCATCCGGATGAAAAAGATTTTCTGGAAAGGGCAATCTGGCAAAAAATGCCGAACACTGTCGCGCCGGGCCCGCTGCCGCAACTGCGCCATGGCCCACCATGGTCCCTCCGCATCGCGTCTGCAACCCATAGCCGTACTTGGGCGGCTCGTTGGCGCCGGCCAAAGTAGCCCAAAACGCACGTTTATAGCATGTACAATTACTTTTTCTTTCCTTTGCCTTTGCCCTTGGCGCCTTTCTTGCCCTTCTTCTTGGCCGCGAGCTCTTTCCGGACCACGTTGCCACGAAATACCTTTTGGATCTTGGTGGCTGCGTCGTGCAAGACCTATAGAAGCTCGTGTCCAATGCCAGCAACCGTGCGCGTACTTGCACTTGCCGGCGCTCTTCGGCGCGGACCGCTTCGAGCACCTTCTCCTCGGCATCGATACGCCGTTGCTCTTCGTCAATCTACGAGTCAAATGGCCGACGTCATGTCGCTGTGTACAGGGATAACAACATACCTTTTTGAAGTGCTCGGAGAGCTCGTGGAGCTCCTTGAGCTCCTGTGTGTACTGTGCTTGGATCGAATCGATCTCGGTCGCGAGCACAGTCATTTCCGCGTCGTACTTTTCTATCGTGCCCGCGACTTCGACGCCACTCTTGCATTTGGCTTTGCGCAGTCCGTCCTCGACGTCGCGGTGTTCGGTCGTATCGGCCTCGAGCTTGCGCGTGAGCTGCAAGTGGCGCTCCGTGAGCGCTTGCATGTCGATGTTTTGCTTCTCAAATGCCTTGTCCAATGTCTCCTTGACCTGGGCCTGAATCATGGCGAGTTCGTTGTTGGCGTTCTATGTCCAAGTCCTTGAGAATCAGCGTCGACAATTGGATGCTAGGACCTTGTTGATCGTCGAGAGCTCGGCCTTGAGTTTTTGCAGCTGGATGTCCAAGTGCGACGTCTCGTCCTCCTTGGCTTTGCGCAGCTCGCTGAGTTTGTCGCGCAGGCTCACGAGCTCGTCTTCGGCTTGCTTTCGTCGGTTGTAAATCGTGTCCATTAGCTCTTGGTGCGCCGTCTCTTCCTCAACGGTCTTGCCGAGCTTGGCGAACGAGAGGTCGGTGAGCTCGGACAAAAACTTGATCAACTGGAGGAGGTCGTCCGCCGGCTCTTTCGTCGGCGTACCAAAGAACGTGTTGAGAAAGACCGGGTTCTCCCGCATGTGCCGACACAGGCTACGCGTCGCGACCTTGACCTTGTGCCACGTGTCATCGCTATCGGCTTTGGCACAGGCGTCTTCGAGTTGCCACTGCGTCTCGATGACGCTTGTGGCGCAGCCACTCTCGCGGAGTTGGCTCAGAAGTCGACTGTCGGCCTTGACAGGCACGTACGTGAGGAAGCTAAGGCGGTCAAGCATGTCGCCCAGCACGGACATGACCCGCTGGGACTCGACGCTCGTGAGCTTGTTCATCGGCGCGCCGCGTCCCTTGAAGATCGAGCTCCCAGCTGCGTCAACGTGATTGGTTCTAAATTGCGCGGAACGGCGTCAGCGATTGGTCGAGACACGGCGTCTTTCCATTTTCAAAGATCGACGCTCGCAGGATGCGCGTGCTGCTGGGCCTGGTCTGGCTCGTGAGCACAGCCTGCGCCGAGGCGCCCTGGACGCCGTTCGCTGCGCTCTGGCCGCGCCGCCTCCTCGCCCACTTCCCACTCGACGCCGACGCGACCAACGCAGCCACCGCCGCGAGCGCGTCGACCAACGTGACTCTCGTCGAGCGGCCAACGCCGGATGGCACCGTGGGCATGGTGGGCTTCTTCAACGGCGAGAGCCGCATCGACGTCGCCATCGACATGAACGCGCATGTCCAGAGCGAGGTGACAATCGGCGCCTGGGTCTACGTGCCCGAGTACACGACGCCCGACCGCGCCAGGTACAAAAATACCCCATTTCTCGGCGAGTGCCAACTTGCATCTATCGTAGCACACTGTGGACGCATGCAGACGACAGCATCCACGAACGTGCGCTCTACTTTGACAGACATGGCTGGGGCGTCGCCACGGGCGCATATGCGACAGGTGCGGCCGGCGGCCTTGCAGTCGCGACCAACCAGTGGACATTTGTCGCCGCCGTGTACAACGAGCGCAACGCCTCTGTTGTGCTCTACGTGGATGGGCGTGCGCTCTACAGCGCAGCACAAATGCGCCTCGGCGCGCCGACGACGCAACTCGGCACCGCTTTTCGCGGGTTCATAAAGCACGCTTTTGTGTACAATGTAGCGCTGCAGATCGGCGAGCTCGACTACTTGCGCACCGCGTCGCTCGCGTTGCTGCCGCCCGTGGCCGGCGCCGCCGGGTACGCGCTGGCCTTTCCAACATCGGCCGCCATTGGCCTCTCGCTTCCAGTGCCGACCGACCCGACGCTCGTCGCGACGACGACACTCAGCCTCTGGCTCACGATCGATTTTGCAGCCCAGCCCCGGCAGTGCCTTTGCGCCTCTGTGCCACCACCTGGCGCAGTGGACGACGCAGTGCACGTCATGTTTGTCCGTGATGTGAATAGCAACAGGTACGTGGTCGAAGTGGTGACGCTCGACAGCGAGACACGGATCGTCAAAGACACAAAGACCGTTGGGATGACCAGCCTCCCGGACAATGGCGTGTGGGGCCATTTGGCGCTGGCCTACTCGGACGCCTCCCTGTATTTCTACTTGAACGGGCAGCTCGCAGTACGTGCCATAGACAGCGTTGAATTGGACTGATCGATATTGCTGCTCTAGGCGACGATGCCACGGACCAAGCCGCTCCTTGTACCCGGCGGCCGCATCGATCTGGGTCTCTGCGGCGGTGCCACGTACGCGACGGTGGCATTTCGAGGCGCCATGGACGAGATCCAGCTGTGGTCGACTGCGATAGCGGCGCCCGTCGTGCACACACGTCTGCTTGGCTCAGAGCCTGGGCTCGTTGGGTACTGGGATTTGGACGGTACCATGGACACGCTGGATGTCCCGAGCAAGACGATTGGCTACTCGCCGCGCCTCAACGGGCGTATTCGAATTCTCTCATATGAAAACAGCGCTCCTCTTGGCTTCTTGTTTTTGGCTCGGTCGGGCGCGGGCGTGGACGACGCGGTGGCGACGCCCATGAATACACCGGTGCGCGTCACGCTCCACGTCACACCGATGGCGCAAGCGCAGTTGACAGCGCTGCCAACCCAAGGAACGCTGTATATGCTGCCAACGACATCGCAACTGCTGTTTGACGGGACGACTGCGGTGGCCATTTCGAGTGCGCCGATCACGATTCCGTCGTCGACGAGCCTCTTCTACGCGCCGCCGCATAATGTCTTTGGAAGCCGTGTGGCGACCCTCTCGTATATTGCGGTTCGTGGCGGGGACCACAGCGCGTCGATGACCTTGCAACTCGACGTGGTGCAAGGTTGGGTTGCACCGACGCTTGGCGTCGGCCCGACGATGGCGGTGCAGCTCGGTGGCTACCGCTTTGAAGACATTGACGCCGACGAGTACATGAGCACGATCGCCGCGTCAGTTCACATCAACGCTGTCAGCAGCACCGACCCGTACCTGCGCGTGACACTGCCCACCTCCCCTGTCGCATCGAGTCTCGTCGCCTCCAACACGACGTCGGCTACGATCGCACTGCTCGGCGACCCGTCGCTCGTGTCGACGGCTGCGTCGCAGATCACGATCGTCCAGACAGGCGCGCTGTCAGCGACGACCTCGATGCTCCTCGAGATTGAGGACACGGGCCCTGGCGCCCTTCGCACGAGCCTGGCGCTGCAGTGGACACAAGCCATTGCATCCGTGCCCGACGTCGCGTCGATCTTCCCCACACAAGGCTACACGAGCGGTGGCGCGCTACTCAGCGTGACAGGCGCCGCGTTCCAGCTCTCCCTTGCGTACACGTGCATCTTTGGCAACAGGTCTGTGCCAGCCCAAGTGGTCTCGGTGGCGCTATTGCAGTGCCGTGTTCCGCCGTCACCGACAGCGGGTGTCGTTGGCGTGACGGTGGTCCCGACATCGGCCCCTGTCTTTGCGAGCCGTCCGCTGGCATTTGTCTATGGTGTACCGCTTCTGGTGCAAAATGTGGGTCCTGGACGTATTGACCGCCTTGGCGGGACCCAAGTACTCGTAGCCACCAACACGTCTACCTATACCGATATGACTGTCTGGAGCTGTGTCTTTGATGGTTCCATTTTGGCACCAGCCGTCGTATTGACACCGACGCTGGTGGCGTGTCGTAGCCCCAACCTCATGAAGCTACGGAACGCTGCGGTGGGCTTGGCGCTCTCACCCAACCAAGGCGCAGACGCGACACTCGTGGACGTGCCGCTCGAGATCGTGGCAGCACCGATGCTTGCTTGGCTGGAGCCGCGATGGGGACGTCGGGACGTACTTAACAACATCACACTGCACGGCACCCACTTTGCGCCCACGAGTCACTGCTACGTCAACGGTGCAGTTGCCGCCTCGACGTTTGTGTCTGCAACCGAGCTACGCTGCGCCGTACCGCCGACCGCCGTCCGACAGACGGTATCGATCGCTATTGGAGATACCCGCTCCCCGATTGAAGCGCAAACTTTGTCGTTCGACGCTTATGACGATGCGCAACTCACAGCGGCTTGGCCCTCTGAAGGTCCGTTGACCGGCGGCGTCAACGTGACGGTCTCTGGCACAAATTTCCAAAACGTCTCGTCGCTCCAGTGCTGGTTTGGCGGTCACGTCCGGAGTCTTGCACGGTTTGTGTCGCCCACGTTGCTGCAATGCACAATGCCCGATCTGTTGGCCATCGCGGCCATCGGCGACGCTGTCCCGCTCAGCGTCAGCATCAACGGCATCGACGACTCGAGTACGTCGGTCGCGCTGCTTGTGTACGCCGCGCCGAGCGTCACCGGCATCTACCCTGCCTTCGGAGCAACGTCAGGCGGCACACTCGTGTCTGTCGTTGGCAGTCGCTTTGTCTCGACACCGCGTCTCGAATGCCGCTTCACGGCCACGGCCACTGGCACTCTGGTGGTGACACCGGCCGTTTGCATCTATGCCAGCATGGTGCAGTGCACGGCGCCGCCCGTGGCGACAGCGGGAACCTACGGTCTCGCACTGTCTCTCAATGGACAAGACGTCTATACTACGGACGCAGCTCTTTTCACATACTACGCTGCTGCTGGCGTCACATCGCTGACACCGGCGCTGGGTTCGACTCTTGGTGGGACAACTGTTGTTGTGACGGGTGGTCCGTACCTTCCGACAACACCGACGCGCTGCTACTTTGGGTCGGCCTCCGTCCTTGCTTTGTGGCAAAGCCCGATGCAGCTCGAATGCACAACGCCGGCGCAGACGACACCAGGCGCCGTTGCGTTCTTTGTCGCTTCCAACGGTATCGATGCAGACGCGACGTTAACGTTCACGTACTTTGCACCGGTGCAACTGCTGGCCGCGTCGCCGAGCCTGGTGACCAACAGCTTTTTCGGCTCAATTGCACTCTCGGGCGTATTTCCGCTGGGGCTTGGTCCGATGTCGTGCTTGTCCAACTCGACCTCGATGGCTGCAACGGTGCTCAACGCGTCGACACTGATGTGCGGGCCCGCTCTGTGGTCGCAGACGACGTCGCTTGCGGTTGTTGTCGGTGCCGACCGCAGTGCAACCTCTGTCACGGTCTTTGCGTATCCTGCATTACGAATCGCTGCCGTGGACCCGGTGCTTGTCCCCGTCGGCACCAATGCAACGCAAGTGACCGTGACAGGCGACCACTTTGAGCCACTGGCGTCGCTCACTTGTCTTTGGAATGACTCGGTTGCCACGCCAGGAACATATGTGTCCTCGACCCAAGCCATCTGCGACATGGATCTGCGCACCACCGGGACCGTTGGCGCAGTGACGCTCGCCATGTCGCTGGGTCTTGCCTCGAACGCCTCCAACACGACAACAGTATACGTGTATGCACCGCCCTCGATCGCAACCATCGCACCTCGCCACGGCCACGCCGGAACTGTCGTGCTTGTGACGCTCTCGCCGGCGCTACCACCGACATCATTTGGGCCACTGCGCTGCCTCTTTGATGGTGTCGCTTTTGCGGGGCGGCTGTTGAACACAACGGCCGTGTCGTGCACGGCGCCGACACGCTCCGTCAGTGTCTATGCCACGACCGTCCTTCTCTCGGTGCAGATCGACGGTATCCAGGTGCACTCGGGTGCGGCAACGTTCACGTTTGACGGCTCGGTCCCAGTGGCGTCCATGTACCCGACGATTCTTGATACCTCGGATGCAACCATCGTGTTTGCAACGGCAGCACCACTGCCGCCTGCGTCGGTCGTTCAAAGCCGATTCGAGCCCAGTGGCACTGTTGTCGACTGCGAAATGCTGGGCTTTTCGTATGTGAGCTGCGCCGCTCCCCACGGACATCCGAACGACTCGATTGCAGTGGCGTTGGCGCTCAACGGTCAAGCGTTTGTGCCGGTCCGAGCCGGCAACCTCACGTTCGCCCCATCGACCAGCACACCACGTGTGGTCATGTACCCTGTCACCGCCGTGGCGTACGCGCCGACGACGCTCACGTTTTCGGGCCTCTTTGATACGACGGCGTCGTATCGGTGCGCATCTGATGACGCGTCATGGTACACTGCCAACGTTGTGTCGCCGACGCTTCTCCAGTGCACCGTCGCGCCACCGACCATCCTTGCTGCCAACGTGACGTGGCAGCTCCAACGCGACGCCAAGAGCCTGGGTCGCTTTCCGATAACATACATTCCGAGCCCGGTTGTCGCTCAGCTTGTGCCGTCCGCGATCGAGCAGCTCAGTCCCCGAGCCGAGTTTGCGATCGTCGGTCGCAACTTGACAGCTGTCGGCTTTACGTGCGCCCTCCAAGTGCCGGATGGTGGCCTCGTTATCGCCGACGCCGCCACCGTTATCAACGCAACCTACGCTCTCTGCACCTTTGGATCCGTGGCATCGGCGTCTGTCGGAAGTGTTTGGGCCCTCTTGACGTCGAATGACAATGGTCTCGCATGGCTCAAATCGAAGGCGACGCTGACGATCGCAGCGGCGGTACAACTCGAGTCTATGAGCCCCAAGACGACGACGATCGGCTCTACGGCCGTTGTTTCGGTCCTCGGGTTTGGTTTCAGTGAAGCAATGTGGTGCATCCTGGACGCAACCACCGTCGTGCCCGCCGTTGTCCTCGGCGCGACGCGCTTGACGTGCACTGTGCACATCAACCAGGTAGTGCACTCGTCCGGAACCATCTCACGTTATGTGTTGGTAGACGTCGACCTCGGTTGCACTGAGCGTCAACGGCGTCGACGCTGCCACGCGCAGCATTACGCTCACGGCAGTGTCGCCGTTGCTCGTGCTTTCGTTTTCTCCGTTGCGCGGTCCCGACGACGGCGGCTCGCAGCTCGCGATCGTCGTTGCTCCTCTGGATCCATCATGCGTGTACTATTGCCACATTGGAGAGAGCATTTCGGAGGCCAGAATTTATCGCGGCAGCGTCACGTGCCCCTCACCAGCATTTCGACCGCCCAACACGACCGTCCGCGTCGGCGTCTCGCTCGACAACCAAACGGTCGCGTACGCTTCTGCAGTGTTTACCTACTTCCCGCGCAGCACGCTCGCCCACGTCGTCCCAAACGTCGTTCCTCGGGATGGCAATGCCTCAATGTTAGTCACAGGTACCAATTTCCAAGACGGTGATGTGGTCTGCAAGCTGGGGTCGATGATCGTGCCAACACTTTACGTCAACGCTACCGCTTTGCACCTCGTCAGTCTGCCCCAGGCGACGGCGGGCGCGCTCTCTGTGGCATGCTCGTTCAACGGCGGCGTTGACTACGCCGTCGCCCCCGTGCTCGTATCGTTTGAAGATCCATGGACTATCCTGTCGATTGACCCCAAGCGCGGGTTTGCCTCGGGCGGTGCACCGTTGACGTTGACGGTGTCGACGGCACTCCCCGACGCGTCCGACATACAGTGTGTGTTTACAGGCGCTGCCTCGGGCACATATGCAGCTACGCTTCTCACGGCAACCACGTGCACGTGCACGACGCCTTCGACCAAGTCCGCCGGCGCTGCGTACGTGCACCTGGCGTACGCCGGGATGCAAACCGCACCCGTTTTGATCACTTATGACCGTACGTACTGTGCATTGTACGGGGCTAATAGCTCGCTTTAGCGACCCCGACGCTGCTTGCGCTCTACCCGTCGCAAGGCTCGGAGCTCGGCGGCTACGCCATCTTCATCTCGGGTGTCGCGTTACCGCAATCGCCGCGCTTGACGTGTATTTTTGATGCCACGCTTTTGGTCCCGGCAACGTGGTTCGGAAGTGACACGATCCTGTGCGAGGCGCCGCCCCATGCACCGGGCAACACTACCGTCCGCGTCTCTACCAACGGCGGTCTCGAAGCGTCATTGGCGTCGCTTTCGTTCGAGTACACAGTGCAGCCGACGGTCACGGCCATGGCCCCGGCCAGTGGGCCGTCGACGGGCGGGAACGCGGTGACGATCTATGGTACAGGGTTCGCCAACACGTCGGCGCTACTGTGCTTTTTCGCCTCGGAACCGGCGACCGCTGTGCTGTACATTGACGCGACTACCGTCATCTGCACCGCCCCACCGGTGCTGCAAAACGCATCCGTGACCGTCGCCGTTGTCGCTTCGACGACGGGCGACGCCGTGTCGTGCGGACCGCTGTGTACGTACACGTACCATGCGCCACTGCTCGTTACTTCCATTGCGCCAAAGTACGGACCGTCGTCTGGCGAGACGGCCGTTGTAGTGACGGGACGAAATTTTCGCGCATCGGTGCGCTATACATGCGCGTTCCAGCTGGATGCTTCGACAGCTCCGATGCATGTACCGGCGTCGTATCACAGTCCCACGGAGCTGCAGTGTTGGACGCCACGACTCCCGTATTTGCTTCGAGATCTCGTCTTTGCGACGATCGCCATTGCCGAGACAGGCATTGCGCAAACCGACGCCACCGAGTTTGGCTTTTACCCCGAGGCGCAACTGACGTCTGTATCACCGGGTCTCGGCACAGAGCTCGGCGGCACAGTGCTGACGCTCGCTGGGTCCAACTTTGTGGCGCTACCGAGCGCGGCGTGCGATTTCGGCGCCGGTGGCATTTCGCCGGCGCGCGTGCTGTCCCCGACGCTTTTACAGTGCGTCGCGCCGCAGCATGTACCCGGTCCCGTGCTCCTGGCTGTGTGCCTCAACGGCCAGCAGTGCACCAAGACACGGCTTTACTATGAGTTTTACCCGGCCATGGATCTCACGCAGCTGGTGCCATCTCGAGGCTCGGCGCGCGGTCGGACCAGCGTCCTCGTGATCGCAGCGGCGCCCCTTGTGACGGTGGCGTCGTTCGTTTTTTGCTGGTTTGATTTGCAAGACACGCGCGTCGCGACGGTGCGTGCGACGGTGGTCACTGCGACAACGGTGCAATGTCTTTCACCTCCGATGCCCGACGCCAGTCGCGTCACCATCACGCTCTCTCTCAACGGCTACGAGGCCGCGACGACCGCGCTACCGTTTGTCTATACCCAGCAGATCGACATTGCCGACGTATCGCCGACAACGGGTCCCTCCACGGGCGGGACACGGGTGGCTGTCACTGGGTACAATGTGAACCTGACGTCGTCGTACTTTTGTCATTGGGGCGCGTCGTTCGTGGAGCCTGCCCACGCCGTGTCGACGTCGACAATTATTTGCGTCGCACCGCCGGCAGCGCTCTCTCCGACAGTGACGCTCGGCATCAGTGACAACGGCGTCGATGTGGCTCTTGCGCCGTCGCTTTTTCGGTATGTACTGCCGATGGCCTTGATGTCGCTCACGCCACGCCGCGGACCCGAGACGGGCAATTTTTTCGTGACGATTATGGGGTCCGGGTTCGAGCCTTCGGTCGTGTGCCGCGTCGGCGCCCGCCCGGCGGCACCCGCACAGTGGCTCTCGTCGACATCAATCATGTGCTGGATGCCCCCGAATGCCCCCGGCACCGTCGCCGTCGCGGTGGCCAACAACGCGGTCGATTTTTCAGTCGTTTACTTTGGCTACAGTGCATCTCCCGTCGCGTCGGCGATGGTTCCGGCGCGAATCCTTTCGTCGGGCGGGAGCCTCACGGTCCTTGGGGCACATTTTTGGAACGTAACGACGTGGCGCTGTGCTGTCGACGGCGCCGCCTCGCGCGATGCCATATTTCTGAATGCTTCGGCGCTTGGATGTGGGTTTGCTACGCTTTCTCCAGGCACGTCGGTGTTGCGCCTGTTTGAAACGACCACCGGTGTCTCGGTGACGGTGCCGCAGTCTCTGGTCGTCGTCGTGCCACCGCATATTGCTCGAGCGGTTCCTTACCTCTTGCCAGCCAACACCAGCACGATGGTGACGCTCTACGGCACGGACTATTCTTATATGCACGTTTGCCAAGCCAGCGATGGTACTTACCTCTCGACGCAGTTCTTGGGGGTGACGGAGGTGCGCTGTCGCGTCGATACAGCGACGATGAGTCTCTCGTTGTCCGACTTGGAACTGGAAGCCGCGCTCTCGAGCACCGCGCTGAGCTACTACGAGCCATACGACATCATTGCCGCATCCCCACCGTTTGGGAGCTCAGACGGCGGCACATTGGTGGTCATCACGATTGCGCCGGCGTTGTTTGACAGTGCATGGCCCATGACGTGCCAGTTTGGCGCTGTGGCTACACCAGCAACGTACCTCAATGCGTCGGCTGTTGGCTGCTTCTCGCCCGAGGTCTCAAGCCCCCGAAAGGTGCAGCTTTCGGTCAGCCTCAACAGTGTCCACTACCCCCGCCCGATCGACTTCGAGTATTTGGACGCCGTCGTCATCGATGACGTGACGCCGGCGCTGGCAATGACGCTGGGTGGGACGAGGATCACGCTCACGGGTCGTCATTTTGTGCCTGGCGCGCAGTGTGTGTTGAACCAGTCGATGGTACCGAGTACGGTGCTGTCGTCGACGCAGGCCTTCTGCAAGGTCCCACCTGCGACACACGCCGGACCTCTCACCGTGACGTTGTCCAACAATGGCGTGGACGTTCCCGGCTCGGTGGCAGTCCTTACGATGTACGCCCCGCCAACAATACTGTCGGTGGCACCGCGAATGGGATCTACGACGGGTGGCACCCGCATCCGCGTCGTCACACAGTCGCCAATAAACTTGAACGTGGCGCTGCCGACCTGTCAAGTCGGCAACGCAACGGCGTCCGCCACAATCATCAACGCCACGTGCTTGGAGTGCGTGTCGGCAGTGAGCGCCGATGCCACGACTGTCCCGTTCCAGATAGCTTTTGTCGGCGATGATTTTGTCGATCTTGGAAGGTTCGAGTACGTCTGGCCGCTGAATGTGTCGGTTGTCGAGCCGATGCTAAGCACTGAAGTGGGCGGTGGCACGGTGACGGTTGCAACACTCGACCCAGCGTTCTCGACGATGACCGCTGTCATGTGTCGTTTTGGCAGTCGGGCGCCAGTAGGCGCGGTCGTTTCGTCGCCACGCAGCGTCTCGTGTCCTGCTCCAGCGCACGCCCCGGGGGTCGTTGAACTCACCATCACCCGCAACGGAATCGACTTTGAGCTGGCCACAACATCGTTCGTGTACTTGCCGGTACAGACAAGCTCGGGCATCATGCCGGTCGCGGGACCGGCGTCGGGCAATACGACGGTATCTGTCTTTGGCTCGAGCTTTTCTGCCTGCGCCGCGCTCCAGTGTCGTTTTGGCACAAAAACAGTCGCGGCGACGCTCCTTGCGTCGACGCAGGTCGTGTGTCGCACGCCGTCGGTGGCGGCACCGATCGTGACGAGCGTCACCGTGGCATGTGGATCCGTCGACCTCGTGACGCTGCCGGATGCTTTCAAGTTCTATGCATCGCCCGTTGTGTATCGCACGACACCGTTGCTCGTGCCGTCGTCCGGTGGCAGTCGACTGGTGCTGCAAGGTCGCTTCGACGCACCCAGCATCGTCTGTCGGTTTGGTGCGTCGGCCATCGTAACGGGTGTTGTTGTCAATGCTACGGTGGTTATTTGCATGACGCCCCCGCTCGCGCCGGGTGTCGTCACCGTTGAGGTCTCGAGCAACGAGTACGACTACACCTATGGACCGCAAGCTCTACGCGTGCATTCGCCAGTGGTGCTCCAGAGCGTCTCCCCAACAGATGTGCATGCCGGCTCGAACACGACCGTGATGGTGCACGGAGTCGGGTTCCTTGATGTGCCGACGCTTCGGTGCCGATTCGGAGCTTTACCAGCAACGCCAGCTCGGTTTCTCTCGAAACAGACCATTGTATGCATCGTACCACCCGTCGCACGGCAAACCGTCGTCGACGTGTCGGTGGCCAACAACGGTGTCGACTTTGGCGACGGCGCTGGCATTCGTGTGCATTTCCATGATCCTCCAACGTTGATGTCCGTGGCGCCGACGTCGGGGCCCACGTCGGGTGCGTCGATTCTGACGCTAACGGGAGCGGGGTTCTTGCCGTCAACGTCACTAGCGTGTACGTTTACTTCTGGGTTGGCGACGCCGGCGGTATTTGTTTCGGCCACGCAAGTCGTGTGCGCGACGCCGGCCGTGGACGCACCACTCACAACGCGCATCCAGGTGCGATATGTTAACACCAACGTCACGACTGCAGCAAGTGTCGCTTTCACATACCAGTCGACCATCACAGTCACAAGCGTCATGCCCACCACGATTTTTTCGGGTGGCACTCCCAGCTCGTTGGTCATGACCGGCTTCAACTTTGACTCAAGGTCGGCGCTGCAGTGCGTGCTCTCAATCAATGGGACCGAGCGTCACTGGCCGGCGGTGGTCGAATCTTCTACGACGCTGCGCTGCCACGGCAACGTCGTCGCGCCTGGCATGTACCAGTTGCACGTCACGGGTACACGTGTGGCGACGACGGGCCGCACTTGGTTTGTCCATGCCCGCGCAATGGCGACGGTGTCTGACGTGCACCCTCTTCAGAGCTTGGAGGGCGGTGGCACGCGCGTACTGGTGTCGGGCAGCAGTTTTTCGGTCCTCGACGCCTTCGCCTGTCGCTTTGGCCCAACGTCCGTACCAGCCACCGTGACGTCGTCGACGCAACTCGAGTGTGTGGCGCCACCGATGGGACCCCATCACAACGTCCTTTTCGCGGTTCTCCAAGCCGATCAGTCGCTGGCTTTTGCACCTGTCACGTTTGCGTACGTCGTGGCGCCCAGTGTCGTGCGACTGGATGCATCGATACTGGCTTCAAGACGACCGACCCAGGTGTTTATGGACGGTGCCAACTTTGTGTCGGGGCTCGATTGCCTCTGGGTTGGACTCGATGCAGTGCGCGCGGCGCCAGCGACAGTGCTTTCGTCGACACGGCTCATGTGCCCTATCAACGTTGACGCTCCAGGCAGTGCTCGGCTGCTCTTGCAGCTACACGGCGTTGCTGTCGACACCAACACGACGATTCAGGTCGTCGATGTCCCCACGGTTACGGCGGTAGCCCCAAGATTTGGCCGTCCCGGGTCACGCCTCACGATTACGGGCTTGGGCTTCGCGGCGGGCCCCAACCTGGGCTGCCATATCGGAGGCGCGTTTGTCGCCGCCATCTACATTTCGTCGACCCAAGTGATGTGTACGGTGCCGACCACATACAATGCACCACAAGCGTCGGTGACCGTGACCAACATTGGCAGCGACGTTAGCAATAGCGTACTGCTGACGTACGTCGAGTCGGCAGTCCCCATGAGTATTGACCCACCGTTTGGCTCAGTGGCTGGCGGGACCTTGGTTACGATTCCTCTTGCCGGCTCCATGCTGTGGCCCATGGATCTTTTGTGCCGATTTGGTGCCGTGGCAGTCCCTGCAACGGTCATCAACGCGTCGATGGTGCGGTGCATGACGCCGCTAAACCAACGCCCGGGCGTCGTCGACGTGACTCTCTTGGTGGCGTTGGACAACTCTTTGCTTTCAGTCGAGACACGCCCGTTGCGGTTTGGCTACATGGAAGATATTGCGATCGTGACCGTAGCGCCAGCGTTCGGGTCGCTGTCAGGAAACACGCTCGTGTCCGTCGTAACTTCGGCCGTCGACCTGGACCTGCTCGACTCCCACCGGCTTTTGTGCGGCTTTGGCTCGGTTCGTGTCCCGGCATGGCGCACAAGTCGGTCGACGCTGGAGTGTGTGACACCACCAGCGGTTATGGAAGGTGCTGTGGCTCTCACCGTCAGTGTCAACGGTATCGACTTCAGCTCGAACGCAGTTTCCTTTACATACCAAGCATCACTCACGGTGACGTCGGTAGTTCCCAACACGGGAAGTGTCCTTGGTGGCACGCTATTGCGATTTCTCGGTGCCAACTTGGACAGGATGAGCCCGGCATCGGCGGCTTGTCGCTTTGCAGACGCGGCGACGGAAGCAATTTTCGTCGTTGCAACGATCGTATCCGCTCAGGAAGCTCACTGCGTGGCACCGGCATGGGCCGTCGAGACGTATACTACCGTGGTTCTTACGGACGCCGTGCTCACATCGAATTCGGTTGGTTTCGAGTACCAAGCGCCGATCACGATCGCGTCGGTGGAGCCTGCTGTCGTCAGCGAGGCAGGCGGTCTGTCGATGCTTGTCATAGGAGATTCCTTTCGAGCAGACTCGGCTCTCTGCTGTATCTTTGGATCTATCCGCGTGCCAGCAACTTGGCGTTCGTCACGCTTGCTGCAGTGCACGAGCCCGCGCCATGTTCCAGGACCGCTGACGTTGGCCGTGTCAGCCAATGGCATCGATATTTCCAACGCGTTAGCACTGCGTGTGACAGCGCAGCCCTCGATCACCGATGTCGAGCCGTCGCACGGCTTTGTCTCTGCACCAACCTCGATTCGTGTTTTGGGCACTGGCTTTGATGCAACGGTGGCGTGGCAGTGCGTCGTTGGGGACAGTGTCGTCACTGCGACGGTAGTTGATCGTAACACTTTGGCGTGTGTGGCGCCGCACCCGACGGCAGCGTACTCGGCAGTCGTGTCAGTGTCGGTCGCAACGGCGACAGGTATCACTGTGCCAGAAAGCCTTCCGTTCTACTACGATGTGGTCGTCAACGCAACGACGGCAGCGCCGGCAAGCGGACCGACCACCGGTGGCACCTCTGTCATTTTGTCGGGCGTCTTTGTCAATGCGGAGGAGAGCCTCCGTTGCATCTTTGGTGACTCGGAAACCCAAGCAACGATTCTGAGCTCGTCGACTGTCGAGTGTATTTCACCGTCGACGTCGTCGCCAAGGGTTGTGCCGTTGTTGTTGCAAGTCGCCGGCCAGCGCCCAACGCCGACGGGGTTTACGTTTGTGTATTACCCGCCTCCAAGTGTGAGCGCCGTGGCGCCAGCCGTGGTTCTTGGACCGACGCTCATTGAAGTGACGGGTGCCAACTTTAGTTTGAGCTCCGTATGCCGGTTTGGTCGCGACACAATAGTGTCAGCACGCTTTGTCACGATGACGTTGCTGCAGTGTGCGGCACCGGCGCATGCCCCGGGGCTCACGGCGGTCGATGTCAGCAACAACGGTGTGGACTTTAGCGTCAGTGGCTTGACGGTGCTGTACGAACCCGAAGTTGCAATCACCGCCGTTCGCCCGGCATCGGTTCTGACGACCGGTGGCAAGACGCTCACCATCACCGGCATCGGCTTTGCGTCCCAACTCACGCTCTTCTGCATGTTTGACGACCACGGGCGCTCGATTTTGCAGGCAGCGGTGGTTCTCAATGCCACGACCTGTACCTGCGTGACGCCGCCTCTCGCGCTGGGCGTGATTCCGCTCTCGCTGACCACGACGCAGCAAGACTTTACGTCCAATCACGTGTCACTGACGTCCGTGGCAGTACCGGAGCTCTTGCGCCTCACGCCAACGCACGGGACGATCGCAGGAGGAACGCAGCTCGTTCTGTACGGCATCAACTGGTTTGTCGATCCAACCGCGTCGATGGCGTGCTGTTTCAATACCAGCGCTTGCGTCCCGGCGTATCTGGAGCCGTCCACGAGCAGTGTACGATGCACAACGCCCGTGTTCAATGCTACAAGTCGCGTCTCAGTCGACGTCGTTGTCGACGACGTTCGGCCTCGGTTTCCGCTGGCATTCTTTGTCGACGCAGAAGTCTCAGTAGAGTCCATGGTGCCGAAGCATGCGCGGGAAATGGCGGGTACGGTCCTCACGCTGACTGGCGGCAACTTCTTCGACACCCCGGAGCTGGCGTGCGTCGTCGGCGAGGTGCGCCTGCCCGCACGATTCTTTAGCACGTCTGCGATCGCATGTACACTCCCGCGGCTGTTGCCGGGCAGCGTACGTGTTGCAGTGACCACGAACGGCGTCGATGTTGTGTCAGCCCCGATGGCGCTGGTGGTGGACCCCGTCACGACGTCGATTCACACCATCTCGCCAACGTCGGGCCCGATCCATGGCAATACGCTAGTGATACTTCTTCACAACCTTCCACTGGCAGTCTCGTCGGTCATGTACTGCGCGTTCGGCGCCACGCATGTCCCAGCAACCACCGTCAACAGGTCGGCGCTAACGTGCTTGACGCCGCCGTCCCCAACTGTCACGGCGGTCAACGTGTCTCTGGTCGAGCGTACGACGTCACTTGGGTCGTCCATCGTGTACGACGACTTTGACGGCATGTTTGTGTACGCTGCGTGGCCAACAGTGCAGCGTATTGCGCCATCGTCGGGCACCGCGGCGTCCATAGTGTCGGTGACAGGCTCAGGGTTTACGTCCGCGTCTGAGATTCGATTTGGTGACGCGGGTGCGTCGCGCTGTGATGTATGGACGCCAACGACCTGCACGGTCCGTGTGCCGGCCCCTGATGGCGACAACGGAGGTCCAGTGCTTGTCGCCGCTTCCAACAACGGCGTCGACTTTGCGTCGTCCACGGCGCTGTTTCTGTATATGCCCGAGGTTGTCGTGACGTCGGTGTCGCCCTCGGTTTTGCGGTCGGCGGCATTGGTGACGGTGCGCGGCGCCAACTTTGACTCGACATTTGCATCGGCGCTTGTGTGTCGAATTCATACCGTGCACGTGCCGGCGACCGTGGTTGCGCCAGACGAGGTGCAGTGTGTCGCACCTGCATTACGCAGTGGCAACTACTCTGTCGATGTCTCTATCAACGGCGTCGACTTTACCAAAAGCCACGTGCTGCTCGAGTACAAGGAGCCACTTGTCTGGACATCGATTCATCCGCGTTTTGGGTCCACCGAAGGCAACACTGTTGTGACGCTGACAACAAGCTCGACTGTTTCGGAAACGGACGTTCTCTCGGCCTATTGCGCGTTCAACACGACCGTCGTTCCTGCGACGCTGGTCAATGCGTCGACTGTGACGTGCACGGCACCACCCACCCCGATGCCGGGCCCTATGACACTGCACCTCGTACAGTACGATACGTCCCACCAAATGACGTTGGAGAATGTACTGTCGCGGCCATTGGATGCAGCGCCCGGCGTCTACACCTACGTTGCACCGATGCGCGTCACGGCAATATCGCCCACCCGCGGTTGGCGCTCGGGTGGCAGCGTTGTCACCGTTCTTGGCGCCAACTTTGCACCGTCGCCGTCGCTCGGGTGCTTCTTTGGGCCATTGTTTGTGCCTGCCACCTTCGTGTCCCCCACAGTACTTCGGTGCACGTCGCCAGCACCAGAAAGCACTGCCACCGACTATCTCGTCGCGATCACGGCCAACGCCGTGGACGTGCTCGCAACACACATTGCGTTCCACTACCAGCCAGACATTGTCGTGGCGTCGATAACGCCGGCGAAGGCGTCCCTTGCGGGTGGTGGCACCGTTCAGATCCACGGGGCAGCCTTTGATGCGCTTTCAAACGTGAGCTGCGTCTTCAATACCGTTGCAGTGCCCGCAACGGTGGTTGCCCCAACGAGGATTGTGTGCACGGTGCCACCCGCTACTCGCGAGACGACCGTTCAAGTCGGTCTTGGCATCAACGAGGCGGATGTTTTCCCCGCCACCTTGGCATTCGAGTATAAGCAAGCGGCGATCGTCCATAGTCTCTCGCCGCGCACTGGGCCGCACCGGGGCAACACAACCGTGTCGGTGCAAGGCGACGGCTTTGCGCCAGGGATGGTGTGCTTCTTCGGTCTGCGGTATGTGCTTGCAACGGTTCTCTCGTCGACCAAGCTCGCTTGTGTCACACCCGCCGTCGACTTCAACACGACAGCAGTTGTTTTCGGCGTCGACGCTGTGACGGCGGACGCTACCGTCGTCGGTATCGGAGACACGGATGCACTGACGTTTTACTACACGGTACTGCCTACGATCTCACAACTGGTTCCTGCTGCCGGACCGACGACTGGAGGCACCAGCGTGGTGTTGACCGTACCCGACGGCCTCGGCTATCTGGACATGATCGACTGCAAATTCTGCGACATAATTGTTACTGGGACTTTTCAGGGACCGACGACGGTAGCGTGCACGGCCCCCGCCGTCGCCGCGCCGCGCACGTGTCCGCTGACGCTGTCAACGAACCACCTCGATTTTGGTGACGAAATCTGGGCCTTTGCCTACTACATGTCGCCGCAACTGACATCGGTGTTCCCAGCACGTGGGCCCAGCAACAGCTATACGAATGTGACACTCTTTGGGGCCAACTTTGTCGACGGTGGAACGCCCCAGTGTAAAATCGGCGGCAAAACGATACCTGCGACGCTCGAGTCGGACTCGCAGCTGCGCTGCCTCGTGCCACCAGGTGTCACACAAGCCGATATTCAGCAAGTGCAGATCCAAGGCCCACCGTTGGCGCCAACCGTTCAAGTCGTCACAACGACGGCCGCGCCCGCGACCAACGAAGTCCAAGTGGTCACAACGTCGGCCTGGGCTAACGGGCCGCAGGTCCAAGCCATTGCTGCGACGCTGCCGGCTGCTCAAATGGAAGTGTACGAAATCACAACGAGCAGTGCGTATCAGCCGACGGTTCAAATGCTCACGTTCACAACGACGCCGATACTACCCGAGGTGCACACTGTCATGACAACAGGAGCGTCAACCGTCGGCGGGTCATTTACGATCAACGTCTTGGGCTTCAACGTCGTCGTTGGCGCGAGTGATTCGGCGTCTACCGTCCAGCAAAACCTTGTCGCGGCGACGCTCGGTTCCCACGGTTGCTCGGTCGCGCGCTCGTCCGGTGCGCTCAACACGTATACGTGGACAATCACATTTACAACCGACGCGGGGACGTTGGCTCTGACGCGACTCGTGTCGACGAGCGCCCTCACCGGCACCAGTGCGTCCGTGGTCGTGGCGCGCGTTCGCGCTGGCACCGTCATGGAAGTGCAAACCATTTGCATCTACGGCGCCGTCTTCTCGGGCTCTCTCGCTACGATCGATGTGTCGCTCCAGGGACAAGTGGTTGCCAGCCAAATTAGTGTTCTTGCAAGCGCTACGTCCATGGCATCGGCGCTCAATGCCCTCGGTGCTCTCGGCGTTGTGACTGTGTCGCTGCAAACCAGCACGTATACTGACGTCAGCGGCGCCGTCTACGAGCGGTTTCAATGGGCCGTCACGTGCACGTCACGCAGCCAGTTTGGTGGACGCCTTCAAGTACAACTGTACAACAGCGTGGGGCTCGCGTTTGTTGAGACGACCGTCGTCGGCACCACGCCCCGTAGCATGGGCACATTTCAGCTTGGCCTTGGTGCTTCGACGACGTCGGCACTGGCGTGGGATGTATCAACGTCAGCTCTGGAGCTTGCACTCGGGGCGCTAACCGGCGTTGATGTCGCCATGGTGACGGAGGACAGCGTCCTACTTGCACCGGCAGCCACGCGCACGCTGCGTATCACATTTTCCCCCAAGAGCGGCAACATTGCTACGCTCGGCGTACAGACAAGTACAACAACAGGCATGTACGGCGACTCGTCGAGTACGCTTTCGACCGGCCTTGCAGCGTCGATTCAGCGCATCATGACTGGCGCGTACCTTGGCGGGACGTTTCAAGTCACCGTGCCCAGTTCGGGCAGCTGGACGACGGTACCAGTGACTGCTCCGTGCTCAACACTTGCATTGGCCTTGAGCGCGTTGGCCTGCTCGGTGCAGGGTCCCGGCGTGAGCGGAGAGCTTCGCTGGCGCGTGACGTTTGCGAATCCGGTTGCAAATGCTATCAGCGTGCTCAGCACCGGCATGACGGGAGCTTCGCCCAATGTACAAGTGACGGCCCACGTCCCGGCCGGTGTTGCGAGCGTGCACACGATCAGCGTGACCAACCAGCACATTCCAACGATCCAGCAGCTACAAGTGTCGGGCGCCGCCGTTGTTTGGGAGGTGCAAACCGTGACGCTGGTCGCGCAAGGTCCGATACGCGGCGTGTGGGCTCTGCGTTACGGGTCCGAATCATCGGGCAATCTCACGGCGACGGCTAATAGCTCGGACGTTCAAGTCGCTTTCCGCAGCATCTCAATGCTCCAAGCCGTGTCGGTATCACGCACTGCTGTGACCGTTGGCGCCACCACGGGCTACGTCTGGAGCATTACGTTTTCTGATGTCGGGGACATGGCGCCATTGAGCGTCGTCTCGAACGTCTACGGCTCGGCCTTGTCTCTTCAGGTCACGGAGCTCACCAATGGTGTGCCGTGCGAGGTGCAGAACGTGGTCGTCTCGGCGACCCAAAGTCCGTTTGTGCTTGGTACCTTCCGCCTCGGTTTTCGAGGGCAGTACACTGAGGTTTTGGCGGTCTCGGCCAGTGCTAGCCAAGTACAAAACGCGCTGGCGGCGGTTGCTACGCTTGGTGCTGTCTCGGTGCGGCGCCTGCAACCCAACGGCGAAAATGCGTGGACATGGCGGATCAGTTTCCTCAACAACGCCGGCGCTCTTCCGCTCTTGGCAATCGATACAAGTGCTGTCGCGGCACCGACGTCCATTCGCGCAGAACGTTGGGTCCCCGGAAGCGCACAACTTCTCTCGGGCTCGTTCATTGTAGGATACGATGGCCAAGTAGCGACGGTGCCCGTCGCAGCGTCAGCAACCGCGCTGGCCACCGCACTCAACGGGCTTTCCACGCTCGGGGCAGGCACCGTCGTCGTCTCGACGGTTCCTGGTGATTTCACGGGCGGAAACATCTGGCGCATCACGTTCACGTCCCTTGGCTTGCGTCCGCTCTTGTCGGTCAGTACGGCCGGCACGCTGGGAACGACTCCGAGTGGCCAAGTCACGACCAGTCAAGTCGGTACGCAGTATGATATTCAAGTCGTGCAGACCGCGGCAACGACGGCGCTCTCTGGGACATTCTTCCTTGCCTACAACGCTTTGGAGACGCCGGATCTTGCCTACAATGCCCTCGCCACGGACGTCGCCTCGGCGCTCAATGCGCTTCTACCCTCCGGTCAGACCGTCGTTGTCACGCGGACGTCACTGACAAACTATGGGTTTGCGTGGTCGATCACGTTCCAGGAGCCAAACAGCGTCGTGCTCGTCGCCGGTGGCGCAGGCACAACGCTTCTCGGGGGCGGTGCCACCATCTCGGTCGTGCAGAAGCCGCCATCGCCTTTAACGCCTGTGCAAGGTGGGTTCACCGTCGCGATTCCGGGCGCAAACAGCGTCTACGTCTCTGCAACGGCGTCGGCGTCGGTCATGCAAGCAGCCATTGCCTCGCTTCCAAGCATCGGCACGGTCAGCGTCGTGCGCACCAGCAACGCCTTTCAAAACGCGTTCACGTGGACCATTACGTATCTTCAAAACGCTGGCAATGTGCCGCTCTTGGCAGTGCAAAGCGCAAATTTGAGCTCGTCCGGCGCCGTCACCGTGTCGACCGCGTCGATTCAAGTAGGCACAACTCCGTGCTGCATGACGGGGTCGTTTCGGGTGGCCTACGGATCGCCGGCGCGCCGCCTACCGGGAACTCTGAGTGTGATCCGCGGCTGGCCAATGGTGGCGACGTCATATGATCTCACGACAGAGCTGCAGCGTGGCGATGTCGTCGTCATCAACGGGTACTCGTTCACGGTGGATGGGTTTCTACCATTTGATGCGAGTCGGCTACCGCTGAGCAGTCCTTACCCCGATGCGTCCATGGCCAACGCCGTCGGGTACAGGCAGTATCGTACTCCACCGCTCGATGTCGGTTCGACGACTGCCGACCGCCTTCAACGCGAGCTTGGCAACCTCCCTGGAATGCCAACTGTCCAGGTCTCGACGTCGGCCGAGGCGATCAACAATGGGTACACGTGGTTTGTGACGTTTTCAGGGGATATGAGGACCCTGCCACTTCTTCGCGTGGCATCGAGTGTGCTTCCGGCGACGGCTTCCGTGGTCGCAAGCGTTGCCACACCCCACACGCAAGGCGAAGTGCGCTTTCTGTATGTCCAAGCCACGTCGACGATCTCTGGCGGGTTTCGCATTCTGCTGGCGTCGGCGACGACACCATTGCTGCCGTGGAATGCGTCGGCGGCCACGCTCCAAGCCGCGCTTCAAGCCCCCGGGTTCTTTGCCAGCGTCAACGTCTCGGGCAGTCCTCTCTTTACGACCCCGTACGCGTCCCTTGGCGACGGCTACGGGTGGTACATCACCTTCGCATCCGACACGGGCGTGGCCCGAACCATGACCTTTGACGCGTCCAGTTTAACGACAAGGTACTCGACACCGGCAACGGTCGGCACGATTCTCGTACAGGCCGGCACGTCCATCCCGCTGTCGGGCGCTTTTGCGCTGACGTTTGGCGGGTACACGACGTCCATTTTGGCGTTCGACGCGCCGGCTGCCACCGTGCAAGCTGCACTCAACGCGCTGCCGTCAATTCCGACGGTGGCCGTGTCGCGGTCGTTGCCAGACCCCAACCAAGGCTACAGTTGGTCGATCACGTTCATAAGCGGGCCGACCCACCCGAGTGCGCAGCAACGTGGCTCATACCCGCTTCTCGCGGCGACGTCGAGCCTCAGTGGCACATCGGCCAGTATTGCTGTGGCGCGCCTCGTTCAAGGCTCCTTCTTGGATGGCACATTTCGTTTGTCTCTGGGTGCCCAAGTTACTGGGCCATTGTCGTATGCAGCACCGGCGGACGTTGTTGAAAGCGCCCTTGCGCAGTTTTCGTGGCTGAGCACTGTCACGGTGAGCCAAAGTGCTATCAATGCGGCCGGCGGGTATTCCTACACCGTCACCTTCGTACCGGTTCCAGGCCGAGTTACGCGCCTTGTCGCTGATGCCAGCCAGCTCATCGGAACAAACGCATCGGTGCAGATCCAAGTGCTTACGCCTGGCGTGGATCCGATAGCGGGGACGTTTGCATTGAGCTACCTCGGGGCGTCGACGCCCGCACTCTTGCACAACGCGTCGGCGGCGACGGTACAGCAAGCGTTGCAGGCGCTGTCGACCGTCGGACATGTCGTTGTGACGACTGCGGCATCAACACCCAACACGGTTACGTGGCGCGTGACGTTTTTGACCGACGGAGCACCGGCCAACCTCGGCAGTCTGCCGTTGTTGGCTCTGTCTACCGACACGATCACGGGCACGGACGTCGCATCGAGTGTCACAAAGCTGCAGGCAGGCTGCTGTGGCCTCCAAGTCTCGCTCAATGGTCAGGACTGGACGCGCGACATAGTAGCCTATCGCTACGATCCCGCCATGGTAGTTCAAGCAACGTATCCGACATCGGGACCGTTGACGGGCGGCACGTCCGTCGTACTCTTGGGTGCCAACTTTGTCAACAATAGCTTGGAGTGCGCCTTTGGGAGCCAGACGACGGCGGTCGAGTTTATCAACGCCACGACTGTGGTCTGCGTGGCACCGCCGCAAACGACGCCCCAATCCGTGTTTGTGCAGCTGCGAAGTGCGCCGTTTGGTATCGCGGCATCGGACAACGCCATGTCGGACTCGGTGGCTCTCTTCTCGTATTACCCGCCACTGGAGCTGACGATGGTGTTCCCAACCTCGGTGCCGGTCCTTGGTGGACGTCCGCTGCGTTTGCGCGGCGCCGGCTTTCTCAACCTCTCGACTCTAACGTGCCAGTACACGACGACGATTCCCGACCTCAACAAAACAACGACATCGACCGCGGTGGCCGTGTTTGTGTCGTCGACGGAAATCCTGTGCCCCGCGCCGACTCTCGCGCCGGCGTTTCCAGCGTCGGCGACCGACTGGGCGCACAAAGCTTCGGCGACGACGGTGCTTGCGATTGCGCTCAATGCCGCTGATTTTACGACCCACCCAACGACAATTGCCTTATATCCACAGTCCCTCGCATCGTCGCTGTCACCACCGCGGGGGCCGCTTACGGGTGGCTCGGTGGTCACGTCGAAGGTGGCGCCCACCCAATGCGACGGCCCCGTGCTTTGCCAGTTTGGATCGCACCGACCAACGGCGGCCGTGGCATGCAATACGACCACCGTCACTTGTCGTACGCCCCCGCACGTACCACAGCAAGCCGTGTACCAACTGCAAGTGACGTCGAGTACTCTTTTGCCCGAAGTGCAAGTCGTCACTACGTCGGCCGCCTCTGGCGCAACACTTGGCGGTATGTTCCAGCTGCAGTATCGGGACTGTACAACGATGCCGATCGTGTTTGATGCTACGGCGCCGATGCTGCAGTCGCTTCTTGCAGCGTGTCCGTGTGTGGGCGTCAACTCTGTTACGCGCAGCGGGCCGGACGCCCAGCTCGGCTATGCGTGGACAATCACGTTTGCTGTCGAGGCTGGCAACGTTCCACCACTGACCGTGTTGACGCTTGCGCTACAAGGCACGGGCGCGACGGCGACAGTGACGACTCAAACCGAGGGTCCTGCAGGCACCATCGCGGGCGAGGTCCAGCAACTCTCGTTGTCGCAACCGCTGATTTTATCCGAAGTGCAACTGCTCCAAGTAGAATGGGCAGCCACGGTCTACGAGATCCAGAGCATCAGTATCACGGCGTCTGTGGCGTTGGCTGGTACGTTTACGCTTGGGTACGCCACGGGCACGACGGCGGCGCTGCCGTTCAATGCCGATGCTACAACGGTACAAGGCGCGCTTCAAGGGCTACCGGGCGTCGGTAATCTTAACGTGTCGATGGTCCACGCAACCAAAATGCGGGGCTATGTCTGGAGTGTGACGTTTCTAACGTGCGCCGGAAGTCGACCGCTTTTGACCGTCACCAAGTCGGGTCTCACACCAAGCGCTAGCGTCACGGCAAGTGTCTCCAAGGTTGCCACGGGCACGACGCCGATCAGTGGCACGTTCTCGGTGACGTATGGCAGTAGTACGACGGCATCCCTCCCGATCACGGTGACGTCGACCGCGTTGGCCACCGCCTTGTCCAGTTTGAGCGGTATGCCATCTGTGACCGTCACCAAGGTCTTTGCGGTCACCGCAACACGGTGGCAGATCACGTTTGGTCTTATGGCGTCATCAATGCCACTGCTTATCACAACGAGCGCCTTGACGGGAAGCGGCGCTGCCGTCACGATGACGCGACTCGTAGCGGGCGGCACCTTGCTTGGTGGCAGCTTTACACTTGGTCTCAACAGCTTGACGACGGGAGCCATCCCGATTGCGGGGGCGTCGGCAACTGCCGTCGCGGCTGCACTGGCTTCGATTGTGCCGTCGGTCGCGGTTTCAGCATATACGAGTCCGTTCAACAACACGTGGATGCTAACCTTTCCCGCGGCGCTTGGTGACATTCCGCCAGTGACGCTCAACACGGCCTCTGTCACAGGCACCAATGTCATTGGGTCCGTCGCGACAGTGGTGAATGGCACGTACGCACCTCTGGGCGGCACCTTTCAACTGCAGTTGGGCAGTGCCACAACCTCGGGCATTGCGCCGACGGCCACCGCAGCGTTGTTTCAAACTGCCGTACAAAGCGCGATGGGTGCCGTTGTTGGCTCGGTCGTCGTAACGTCCGGGACACCAACTCTTGGTGTTGGCAACGCCTGGCTGGTCACGTTCGTCGACTCGTGGCAGCTCAACTACGCGGCCAATCTCGACACCATCCGTGTCGGTACCAGCGCCTTGACAGGCTCGAATGCTACAGCAGCTTGGCGCCGAGTCATTGGCATTGAGCCCACTCGAACGTCACTGTCCCTTGCGATGAACGGTGCCGACTTTGCAGACACGGGACTCGCGTTTCAGTACCATGACGCGATCGTCGTCGACGCGATTACCCCTGTGTTTGGCCCCGTGGACGGCGGCACACTGATCACGGTCGCCCTGGCGTCGCAGAGCGCCAGTTGGTCGTCCAACGACGCCGCCCTCTACTGTGCATTTGGTACCTCGATCGTCCAAGCAGTCGTCGTGAGCCCGCTCGTCCTGCAATGCAAAAGCCCGTTGACGACCATACCCGCGCTCGTGCCACTCGAGATCAGCGCCAATGGTCTGGACTTTAGCACCTCCAACATCGTGTTCGAGTACCGGGTGAGAATGGAGCTCGCGTCGATAACACCGACCCACGGTCCGATCACGGGCGGCACACGCGTTTCCATCAGGACGCCAAACATTAATGTCCTCGACGTGTACCAGTGCGCCATCGGTGGCGTCGTTGTCGTCGCAGAAGAAGTGACACCGTCTACGATCGTGTGCCGGACGCCGCCCGTTGCCGCGCCGCGGACCGTTGCGATTGAAGTGACGTACAACGGCCAAAGCTTTTCGACAACCCAACTGCAGTTTGTGTACCACGTACCTTTGCGCTCGAGCAGCATCGCGCCGGCATGGGGCGCGGCCATCGGCGGCAACACGGTGCTCGTGCGCGGCGGGACGTTCGACCCGACGCGCTCTGCGACGTGTCGCTTTGGCGAGAAAGTTGTCGACGGACTGGTGCTCTCGCCCGAGTTTGTCCAGTGCGCCCCGCCCCGCTTTGATCCGGTTGGCCAAGTGCAAAGCATTTCAACGTCCGCGTCTGGGTATCTGCCCGATGTGCAAGAGGTTGTGGTGTCAGCAGCGCCCAATACATCGCTCGTACTGCAAGTGGAAACGTCCGGCGACTTGCCACTACTAGAGACACAAGTGCTTACGATCACTGGACAAACGATCCCCGAGGTGCAGTCGATTACGACGTCGGTCGCCGTGCTCTCGAGCGAGATTCGGACCATCTCGACGCGCATGACGCCGACGGTCACCGAGGTCAAGACGCTTCAAACGACGGCCACCGCCACGAACGAAGTGCAGCAAGTCGTTGTGAGCGTCGACACGTCGAGCTTGACGAATGCGCAAATGGCGGTGCAGACGCTAGCGGTGCCCGTGCAGCTGGGCGAAACCGGCACAATTTCTCTGGAGCTCCACGGCGCACTCTCGGTACCACTGCCGTATACGTTTACCTTGACGCAGCTGCAGGCGGCGCTCCAGGGCATGGCCACGGTCGGCGCCGTCTCTGTCAGTGTCATGACGCCAACACCCAGTACGCGCTTGTATGCAGTGACGTTTACGCAAAACACGGGAGCTCTCCTACCGCTCGTGCCGCATGCTAGCAACTTTGTGCTTGTCGCCCCGTCCTCTCTCGTGGTGACATTGGTGGCGGCGGGAACATCGACAGCACTGAGTGGAACGTTTGCTCTCACGTTCAACGGCGCTAGCACTGGGCCATTACTGTACGACATTGCGCCGGACGACCTCGCGTCGGCGCTGCAGGCGCTCCCGAGTGTTCAAAACCAAGTCGTCGTCGCGATGCAAGGATGCGACTTTAACGGCGCCTGCTCGTGGCTCGTGACCTTTGTGGCGTCGCCGACGGTCAACGGCAACCTGTCACTCATGACGGTCCAAGCCGCGGGGCTGGTCGGCACGGGCGCCAGTGCGGCTGTCAACGCAATCTCGGACGGCAATGCGGTCGGCGGCAGTTTTCAGCTGACGTTCCAAGGCGCAGTCTCGGGCGTGCTCTCGTGCAGTGCCACGGAAGCTGCGATTGGCAACGCTGTGCAGGCGCTCGTGGGCCTACCCGTGCTCACTGTCACACGCCAAGGACCCGACGCCGTCAGCGGATATACCTGGAGCATCACATTCGGTGGTACACCCCAGGCGATTGGGCCGCTGGTGCCAATCTCGCTCGGGTCGCTCACGGGCGTCGGTGCCCGTGTTCTTGTCCAGACCTCCCGGCCAGCGCAAATTCCCGAGATTCAACAGCTGTCACTGTCTGCTACGTCGTTCATCGGCGGCACGTTTGCGTTGTCGGTGAGCGGCCAAACAACCGCGCCGCTCTTCTCGGACAGCTCGGCCAGCGATGTTCAGATGGCGCTCAACGCCCTGAATGATCTCGGCACTTTCCTCGTCTCCAAGAGCGCGGTGGACGGCAACGGTGGTTGCCAGTGGTACATTACCTTTGCGACGCTTGCTGTGACTCAAAATCTCATTGCTGTCGTTACCACCGACGACGACGGCCAACCAATGCTCCAGGACTCGGGGTCGGGCGACGTACATCTCGCCGTGTCTCGAGTGCAGTACGGTACCAGTGCCCCCCTCTCTGGTTCATTTCAAGTGGCCATCAACGGCGTTCTTTCGGGACTCATCCCGTTTGACGCGACTGCAAACCAGGTTAAGCAAGCGTTGGAAGTCGTTGAAGGTGCCGGCCAAGTGAGCGTGTCAACATCGGGGGCTCTTGGGTTCAACAACGCCAACGACTGGACCGTGACCTTCTTGAGCCCACTCTCGAGCCTTCGGTCGTTGGTGGCCAGCACGTCCACACTCGCGCCGGGCAGCGCGAACGTGCAGTTTGGTGTCGTCCAAGCAGGCACCGTGCCGACCATCCAGTCGATTTCAACGACGCTCAGCACCGGCTCGTTTGTGTGTAATTTTGGTGGCGCACCGTCGGCATCCATCGACGCCACAGCAAGTGCAGCGTCCGTTAGGGCCGCACTCATGGCCATCCCGTCTATCGGATCCATCGTTGCATCGGGCCCGGCTGGCGGCCCGTGGCAAGTTACCTTCATGCAGCTTGCGGGAACTGTGCCAACGCTCACCTGTGGCACTGATCAAACCGTCTCTGTCGTTCAGTCATCGACCGCGGCGGTGCTCGGCGGTCAACTCCGCTTCGGGTTCCAGGGTCAATTTACATCGTATTTGAGCGCTGCCGCGACGGCCAACGACGTTCAGACGGCGCTGACAAGTCTCTCGAGCATCGGTGCCGGGAACGTTGCTGTTACGTTAGGGCCTGCGGGGGTCAACAACGGTCAGACGTGGGTCGTGACATTCACCAACGTGCCAGGGAACCTTCCGGCACTCGTTGTCGACACGACGCAGCTCGTGGGTACCACTGCGACGGCAACTGTTTCGACGCTCGTCCAAGGCAACCAAGTGACGGGTGCCTTTCAGCTCTCGTTCAACGGCGACACGACGCGGTCGCTATCGCCACAGATGGATGCAACCGACCTCGCATCCGCTATCATGCAGCTACCATCCATCAACTGCCGTCGCTGCATCGTCGTCTCGCAGTCTGCTCCGCTCGGTGCTGCCGGGTACAACTGGACTGTAACGTTTCAGGCCTTCGATCCAGTGTCGTCGTCGTTTGTGTGGCCCATCGTTGGCAATGTCGCGTCGCTTGCCATCGACAACTCGTCGCTCGCTTGCAGCGGGTTAGTCGCGACTGTCACGACGGTGCAGAATGGATCTGCGCCGGTGCGTGGCAGCTTTGTGCTAGCCTACCGTGCGCAACCGTCGGTCGTGTTGGCGTGGAATGCGACGGCCGACGACGTTCTTGCGGCCGTTCAGAACATCAAGAGCATCCCCTACTTTGGAATCGGATTCGCCGTCTCCCGCTCCGCCGTGACCGCATCAGGCGGTGTACAGTGGCGCATCACGTTTCCGTATGACCTACCGTACCCGAACGAAGTCCTTGCCGTCTCGTCGCGCCTCCGCGGCAGCAACGCACAAGTGGTCGTGACCACCGTGACGCCGCAGACAGTCCCCATGACGGGTAGCTTTACTCTCTCGCTTCTGGGGCAAATGACGACAGCGATTCCGTTCAACGCCAACGCGAGCGTCGTGGCCTCGGCACTCTCCGCGCTGCCTGGGCTTCCGACGGTGGACGTGTCGACGGTCCATGAGCCCGGAGTCAACCGCTACGTCTGGCGCGTCACGTTTGCATCGTTGGTCAACGCCGGTAACGTTCCACTACTACTGACACCTTCTGTGGCGGTCGGCGGCACGTCGCCCAGTGCCACCGTGACCAAGATACAAGCTGGCTCGCACAACCAGATACAAGTGATTACCATTAGCGCGGTGACGCTGTCACCCAACGGGACATTCACGCTGGCGAGCGCCGGGTTTACGTCGCCGATTGTGCTCTCGATGACAAGCTCGGCCAGTGAGATGACGACTGCGCTTTTGGCGATCCCATCGATGTCGGCCGTGCGCGTCGAGCGCCGAGTGGCCATGGACGGACACCTCGGTGCGTCGTGGTACGTTTTGTTTTTGGATTCGAGCCAAGACCGGTCGCCACTCGTCGTCACACCAATGACGCTCACGCCCGTGGGTGGCTACACAGTCAGCATCACGACGTGGCCGTCCATGACAACGCCGCTCTCTGGGACGTTTACGATTGCGTACGGACGCAGCTGCATCGACGGCGCGACGACCGAATCGGCGTCGTGCGTGCCGTTGCAGACGCCGGCGCTTCCGTGCAACGTCGATGCCGTCACGATGCAGCATGAAATCTCGCTGCTGCCAGGCCTGAGCGCAGCCACGGTGACCCGCGCCGGCCCTGACTACCTCAACGGATTCACGTGGTCGATTTCATTCCCACACGAGCTCGGTAGTATTGCCTTGCTCGACGTTACTTTGGGTGGAAACCTTGGCGGGACCAACGCCATGGTTGTTGCCGCCGAAACACAAGCCGGTGTCTCGTACGACAACGCCAAAGTCCCTGTGACGGTATCGTCCAACGGTCAAGACTACTCGTCCCCGGCGGTCGTGTACCAGTACGTTCCCACGATTCTCGTGTCGTCGCTGGCGCCGACGCACGGACCGGCCACCGGCGGTACCGAGGTCGTCGTCACGGGGTCGTTCTTCTTCAACTCGTCGGCGCTCTACTGCAGCTTTGGCGCGACGTCGGTCAAGGCGAACACGTACTTTAACAATTCGATGCTGGTGTGCATCGCACCGCCGCGCGGCGACAACGCCGCGACGGTGGCGGTCGAGATCTCGCACAACGGCGTCGGTCTCGCCAGTACTTCGTCCGAGAGTCACGTGCGCTTCACCTACGATATGCCGGTGGTTGTCCAGTCGGTGACACCGACGTCTGGCCCCGTGACGGGCAACTTTTCGGTGCACATTTCTGGTGGTCCGTTCTTGCCCACCCCAGAAGCCCGCTGTCGCTTTGGCGCATTCGTTGTGCGAGCTACGCAAGTGCACTCGGATCTCCTTCGGTGCGTTGCCCCCAGCCACGCGGCGGGGACGTATGCGCTTGAGGTATCTCTCAACAACCAAGACTACACAATGACGCGCTGGCCTTTTTACTTCTACCCTAACCCGACGCTATCGCGAATCTTTCCGGTCTTTGGCCCGGCCGTTGCGGCCGGCACCACCATCACGATCGTCGGCTCCGGGTTTGTGAACGTGTCCAGTCTTGTCTGTCGTCTTGGAAAAACGATTGCGCCGGCCACGTACGTGTCATCGACACAGCTGCGCTGCTTGGTACCGGCGCTCTCCGACTTTAGCAGCGGGTTGCAGCCAATGCCGCTCTCGGAGCAGCGCAACACGTACCCCGACCCGAGCACCGGCAGTCGCCTTTTGTTTCCGACGGCGTGGCACTTTCCACTTGTCAACGGGCGTCTCGTCAGCGTCGAAGTGTCCAACAACCAGCAAGACTATACGTACAGTGGGATCAACTTTATGTACTACGACGATGCCACCGTTGCGGCGGTGACGCCGACGAAGGCATTTGCAACCGATGCGATATCTTTCTTTGTCCTTGGCGCCGCCTTTCTCAACACGACCGAGCTCCGGTGCCGCGTCGGACCGACGACCGTCCGCGGCGTCTTTTTGACACCGAATGTCACGCTGTGCATTGTGACCTCGAGCCTCCTGGAGACGACGCTGCCAATGACGTCGACGACGTCCCCGAACGATCCCGTTCCGACGTTTTCAGAGAGCGGGCAATATCTCTTTGTGGAAGTGGCCAACAACGGCGTCGATTTTACAGCCAACCGCGTCGGGTTCGAGTACCTCGGTCGCTGTCCGACGGGCGCGTACTGTCCTCCGACATTGCAAGGGCGACAAGTGACGTGCCCCCGCGGCACCTACTGCCCCGGCGTCGGCAATGCCAACTATACGCTCTGCCCCCGGGGCACATACCAGCCGCTGCTTGGACAATCGAATTGCATTCGGTGCCCCATTGGGTATCATTGCCCTCACATTGGGTTGCATGTGCCCCGGGTATGCCCCGCCGGCTTTGTGTGCGACGTCACAGGCATCGAAGAAGCCGATCAGCCGTGCCCCGTGGGTCATTTTTGTCTCGAAGGCACGGCAACGACCGCGACGACGTGCGGGAACACCGTTGCGTCGCGCAAGCTCGCCGGCGCGTACACTCAGGGCGAGCGCCCGTCAACGCTGCGCAAGGGCCGGCGGGCGACCCCCCAAGAGCCTGTGCTCGGCGGTCGGAATGCCGGGTGCTGGGACAATAGCACCGCCGACTTTGGTCTGCAGCTGAGCGCCAACCCGAGTCGGTTCTGGATGGAGCTCCATCAGTTGCCGTTGTCGTCGGACACGACAAGCTTTGTGCCGTTGCGCGGACGCTACTGCATGGACGATGCGTGCTTGAAGGTCCAGAGCCCCCTCTCGGTGCAGGACACGGTGTTTGACTACGCATCGACGGGGTTTGCTCTCCGACGACCGGTGCCGTGTCCGATGGGCACCTACTGCCACGCCGGTACGGCGGGCAACGTCTCGACGATGAAGAACTTCACGATGCCCCAGCCGTGCTTTGAGAGCATGTACTGCCCGGAAGGTAGCGTTGCTCCGGTGGGCCAAGGCAACTGCCCGACGGGGCACTACTGTCCGTTTGGTGTCAAGCTGCCGTGTCCCGCCGGCACCTACTGCCCAAGCACGGGCAACTACGAACCTCTTCCGTGCCTCCCCGGAACGTTCAATGGCATGGTGGGCCAGTCGTCGTGCACGCCGTGTCCCGCGGGCTTCATTTGCCCCGGGTTCAACCGTGTCCAGCCTGTTCTGTGTCCAGCGGGGTATGTCTGTTCGCGCGACCAGCTCGAATCGCCCAACATACTTTGTCCCCCGGGATACTATTGCCTTCAAGGTCTTTTGACCTCGGACCCGTTCCGGAATGACACGACGCTGCGGCCGTACCCGTGTCGGCCCGGCACCTACTGCCTTGGTGGTGTCGTCGCCGACACGGTTGTGACGGGCGATTTCTCGTTCGCTCAAAACTGCACGGCGGGTTTCTACTGCGAACTCGCGTCCGTGTCGCCCAAGGGCATGGGCATGTGCCCCCCGGGCTTCATGTGCCCCGAGGGCACGGCCGCGCCGATTCCGACGCCGCTCGGGACGTACGCGCAGCGCAGCGGCACGGTGCAAGCCGCGCAGTGTGCACCGGGGTACTATGCCCCGACGATCGAGACCTCCGAGTGCTACCCGTGTCCGCCAGGCACGACATGCCAAGACGACGGCATGAGTGTGGCCGTCTTGTGTCCCCCGGGTGCGTATGCGCTGTCGATAGCCTCTTTGCTGATGGGCAGGCCGTAGGCTCGTACCGCAGTACGCTGGAGATTGACGGTATCGCTTGTATCCCGTGTCCCCAGGGCACGTGGTCCAAGAACTGGGGTCTCCGCGACGTGACCGAGTGCATGCTCTGCCCGCCCGGCACAGTGTGCGCGACGGACGGTATGACAAATCCGTGCAGCAACAGCGACCTTCCGCTGCCGTATGTACCAACGAACGCGGACGAGTCCATGGAGCAGTGTCTCGGGAAGGGGCGCGCCTACTTCTTTGGCGTGCTCCTTGAGCCATGGATTGACGGCAACGGCGTCGGACCGCACTTTCTACCTCATATCTCGGGGCAGTGCTATTACAACCCACAGCCGTATGGAAGCCCCGTGTACCGTCGGTTCACCGAGTACTTTGGTCCACTCTACGACATCACCAATGGCATTCCGAGCCAAGGGTATGGCGACGCGACGCAGGCGCCGGGCCCGAGTTACTTTGACCGCGGGTCGCTCTACATGGATCTCACGTACTCGACGGTCTTTGACTTGCAGCGGAACTGCACCCGCGGCTTCTTCTTCAAGGACGCGTGGTTCCCCGGCACGTGCGAAGCCGACTTGATTTGCTACTCGACCAAAATCGCGCAGGCACTCATTTGCCCCGAGGGCTTCATCTGCGACGAAGCGACGACCGATGGCTCGTCGTTGAGCACGCCGTGTGCACCGGGGTACGTCTGTGCGTTTGGGTCGACGCCCGACACGTACCTCGAGTCGCCGCAAGGCCAGTACAGCAAGCTCTGTCCACGGTCGTATTTTTGTCTGGAGGGCACAGGCGAGGGCCTCATGAAGCAGGACCCGTGCCCGCCCAACTATTTTTGCCCCACGGGGACTGTCGACCCGTGGCACGGCCTGGTCGCCAACGACGCCTTGCGCCGGGGCCTCTCGTCGGCGTCGGCAAATCCCTACACGAGCACCGAGAGTATCGAGTACCTCGACGAAGGCGACGTCCGTGGCTTCTCGGCCCACGACCTGCGCTGCCTCCTTGCCATCGACCCCGAGCTCCAAGAGACATACCACTTGGTCAATAGCGTCGTGTACAACACGGCCATCGAGAACGACCTCGCGTGCGCGCGCGACCACAAGTGGCGCCATGTGGTCAATGCGATCACGCGGGGCGAGTGCAACTGCACGCACCAAGTCGTGCTGACGCTGGACCTTTACAAGGTCTTTAGCTGCACCCCGCCCACGTGCGCCCTGCGCTCACTGCAGCTTGTGCTTGGCGCGACGTCGGCGTGGGGCGTCACCTTTCCATTTGCCCCGACTGCCGTGTATTCGTCGTACGCGGCGCTGGCCGCCGATGCAACAGCCGAGTACGCCGCCAAGACGCAGCTGTCGATGCGAGCACCAGTGAGCGACATCCTCTACGATACGTACATGGCGGTGCAGCGGATTGCAGCGTTGGGCGCGTCGACGCCGACGGTGTTCAATGTCGACGGCAGCGGGAACGTCCTTCGTCCCGACTACTGCGAGTGCCAGCGCCTCCTCAAGTGTCCAAATGGAACAACGTCGCCGTTGGCGTCGGACGACATATTCGACTGCGTCAAGACGGGCGTTATTCTGCAGCGAATCGACTTGATTCCGCCGGGCCACCCGCGCCAGCTCAACGGTACTTGTCGCGTCATTACATCTCTTCATGAGGACCGTAGGGACGGACTACACGGTGCTCTCGGGCACTGGTGACCCGATCAGCACGCTGCAACTTGAGCCATACGAAGTGGCCATCGTGACCATCAACGCTACGGGCATGGACCCAAACATGACGTACAACGACCACTACCGCTTCTCGGTGTATAAGAACTGCAAGCCGTGTCCGCCCAACTACAGCTGCAACTTGTACGCGATCCCGCCAGCGTGCACGTACCCCGGCGGTGCCAACACGACGGGCATGGCGCTCTACACGCAGTGTTTGGCGTCGGCGTCAACCGATGTCTGCGACGCGATTCCCTTCTTTTGCGAGATGCGGAGCAAGGTGAATGCGGACGGGACGCTGCGGACGACACCTGGCTGCTGCGCGTGCGAGCACGAAGAACTGCCCGTCTTCTTCCGCACCAACACGCCCGTGCTCGGGTTTCCCGACGACAAGCACGGCATGGTTCAGTTTACGATCTCGGCGGTCGCCCAAGTCGACGTGACGATCGTCGCCGAGCTCTTCCACGGTCTGTACTACCGCAGCTTTGCAAGCGCGTTTGCAACGGCGAATGTCCAGCTCAGCGTCTTTACTCCGTCGCGTGCTTACTACACGCCGACGACGCCGACGTCCAATGCATTCTTGCCGGTGTTACAATCGTCGGATTTCACGTCGCTCGCGCTGCCGCTCAACTTGCCCATGTCCCGCGTGCGCATTCCCGGGTCGCTTGGCTTCCAGACGCAGCTCGAGACGTCGCTCTTCATTGACCGGGTCGCGGATGTGTTTGTCGGCGACCCGACGCTGCCGTCGTCGGTTGGGTTTACGCGCATCAGTGGCGAGCAGGCGCTGCTCGGCACCGTCCCGAATGCGTCGACCCAAGTGCTGCCGACCGACCTTTTTGGCAACCAGATCGTCCCCGACCCGCTCAACGACGTTGCGTACTCGTCGCGCTGGTGGCTTGACACGCAGCCCGGTGGGTTGGACGCGATTGCGCTGCCGTACTTGCCGTACTTTAGCGCCTGCGCCGGCTACGACTCGCACATGTCGTTGGCCAAGCTTCTCGAGACGCATCCAGACTGCGTCGAGGTCGACTACAACGTCACACGGCCCGTTGACGAGCTGCTGTGGCGCAAGAAGACGGTGCCGCTCGCCGATACATGCGCCTTGCCGACGACCGGTATCGAGCTCCAGTGCGTCTACGAAGAAGACCTCGAGGGCGGCACGGACCAGCCGCGGTGGTACGAAGCGGACCCTGGCACTACGCTCTTTTGGCTGACACGGTACCCAATCGCCGCGTCCGACTTTGTGGGCAATGCGTCGAGCACAAACCCCATCTACTGGGGCGAGACCGACGTCATCACAAACCTTCTCGGGTCGTCCGACCTCGTCGGTGTTGCCTGTACGTGCGTTCATTCGTGCATATACATTTTCACAAAAGAGACGTGTAGTGGGCCCCACGACGCAAGGGTACTCGATGGTGATGGCGAAGACTGTGGCGCTCAGCATCAACTATTACCAAATCACCGAAGGGCAAAAGATCCTCGTCAACGCCCAGATTGACCTGACCGACCAGTGCGTCGTGTCCAAAGCCCCCCAGGACGTGGCCGACGCCGCCGTCAACGGTACGACCCAATGGGGAGATCCCACTTCACACGAATCTAGGCATTTACCCGTGTGTGACCAACGTCGTCACGGGCGGCTTGCTCTCGAAAGCCTACTCGCTCCAAGTGAGCTTTCAAGCGCTTGGGTGGTACGACCTCATGAACCAGTTCCGGTTCTCGATCCGCGTCTACCTCATGCTCTTTGGCGCGATCGGGGTCGGCATGGTCGCGCAAGGCGTACGTCGTCGTCGTCGCGTCTCCAAAAATGCTCACCCTGTTCGTGATCCTAGTATATCGTCTATTTGATCAACCGCATCTTTACCAAGATGCGCCACCCGCCACCGTTCCGCCTTCGGGAATTTCTCAAAGCCACAGCACCCCAGCCGGCGTTCGGGACGCTCCTCGCTGTCGTGCCCATCATGTGCGTGACGATTGCGATCTATGGCTGGTGGAACGTTCTCAAGTCGAAAGCACCGACGCTCAACCCGAGCGCCTACTCGTTCGAAGGCGTCTCGGGCGACTGGCTGTACATTGCGGCCTTGGACGCTGCGCACGTCAAGGCGTTCAAAGCCGGTCGTGTCGGTGTCTCGCTACTGGGCTTTGGCATGTATCTGCTCCTCCTTGGCATGAAGTACATGATCCCCGACGACATGGACCAGCAGAGCGAAGACAACTTGATGAACCAGTCGTCGCTGCAAGAGCCCACCGACCCGTTTGAGCTCCCGATCCCGAAAGAGACCGAGGATGACAAGCTCCATGCGTCCGAAGACGCCAAGGAGACGAGCACGTACTGGAACCCGCGCGCGTGGAAGCGGGCCAACATGATCTTTGCGTCGTGCGTGACCGTGCTCACCCAAGTGGCCATCATCGAATTCTCGTATTCGACGTCGTTTACGGACCATTCATTCCGGTACTGGACGCTCTACAAGCTGCTCGAGCACGTCTACGACGCGTACATCGGTGGTGCACTCGGGGACACGCTTCTCTGCTTACCCCACGCGATCCTCATCGGGATCACGGAACTGATCATCACGCTGGCGGCGCCCGACTTCTACGCGTGCCTCATGGGTCTTTTCGCGATGCAGTGCTATATGATCATGGAGCGGCTCTTTGTCAACCCGTGGATTGAGGACATCAACCGGCTCATGCCCAAGTGGAAGCTGCAGTTCCACCGCACGTTTCGCAAGAAGCGCCGGCGCACACGCGAGCAAAAAGCCAAGGAGGAGGCCGAGTGGCGTGCGCTGTGCCAAGAAATCGACGAAGCTGGCGCCGGTGTCGAAGTCATTTGCACCGCGTTCATCGACACGTCGCTCGGCGCCGCGTCCATGTACCTTGCACCGCTCGTCATGGGGCTCATCTACCTCTTCAACGTCGAGGCGCAAATCGCAACCTTGTACGAGATCCTCGAGAACGATCTGATGTACTACATCCTCTTCGCGGTCGTGACGATTCCGTTCGTGAGCGTCCTCGATGTCGTGCTCTGGAACACACAAGAGCTCGTGCATGGATGGAAGGCGTACGAGTACGCCACGTACCAACGCCACCGGTTCAGCATCCGAAAAGAGCGCTGGATTCTCAACGCGAAATTTCGCGACAAGTCGCTCGAAGAAGGCTTGCAGGACGTCGACATCCTCTGCTTCTCGTCGCAGTACTACTTTCTCATTGTCATTTACGCGTCCGGCCTTGTCTACCTCATGTTTGGCCTCTCGATCTTCCTCCGGCAAAGCTACAACCCGCTCGGCGACGTCATGATGCCTGTGATCCTCGTCTTGATCTTTGCATTTTGCACGGCCGTCACGCGCGTCTGCCTCTACATTGGTCGCAAGGCCAAGATCTGGGTCCCAAAGGGCCTCCGCGGCTCGATTGACGACGAAATTGCTGCGAAATTGGCCGTCGGCGCCGGTCGCCAAGAAGACTTGGAGATGGAGCGCATGGAGATGGCGGCGCTCAACTCGGAGCGGTTCCGACACCGCTTTATGGAGCGCAACCGGCCGTGGATTCTGCAGCACATGGTCGAGCTCTTCACGCCTCGGACGCTGCAGATGCCCGGGCCGCTCCACGACGGCAAGCCCAATATTGAGTACATTCGCGACATCTACAACGAGCTGCTCAACATTGGCGAGGGCCGGCGCTTGGCGGGCGACGACCCCAACATCTCGTCCGACGACGAAGACGACCTCTTCAAGATGCGCCAAAACTGGTCCAACATTCCAGTCGACGGCGCCTCGAAAGACCTTGCGCTCTACTGGCTCGCAAAAGCCCGCAAGCGCATGGCGTTTGGGAAGCTCATTGCCGGCATTTTGCTGCAGCACAAGCAAGACGCGTGCGCGCTGTGTCTCAAGTCGGTCGCTGGCGGCTACACCATGACCGTCGACATTGCAACGCCGGATGGAAAGGAGCAAGACCGCGCTGGCCTCGACCGGCTCATCCGCGGGTTCGAAGCCAAGTACGGCGAGCGCGAAGCCGACTCGGATCTTTGGAAGGCGTACTTTCGGCAGCACGCCGTCTTTATCACGCTCTGCAACGTCTGCGTCTCGGTGCTCGAGCAAAAGCGGCTTGCGCGCATCGTTGCAGTGCCTCCGTACGTAAGTTGGCATCTGGCCTTTCTGAGTTTGCACTTGTAGGCGCCAAACGCGCGCCGAAGACTTGAGCTCGGACGACGACGACGAAGGTATTGACGTGGTCTTTGAGCCCATGGTCGTCTCGCGCACGTCGAGCGAAGGACGCGTCATGTCCAAGTGGCTCCAAGCAGCGCGGAAGCGGCTCGGCGGTGTCTTCCCAAGAGACTCGGCGCGGGCGGAAATGGAAGCGTATGCAGAGAAGATGCGCGCGGCAAAGGCCCGCAAGACCAAGAAGAAGCGCGTCGACTCGGACGACGAAGACCCGAGCGTGCACTGGAAGGTCTCGCTCACGGAAGCGTCGCGCGCGCTCCTCTTGAAATGGACGTGGCAAGCGCGGGACAAGCAGTTTGCCGCATTTCGCGCCAAAGCGTCGAGTCTCCGGTCGCAAATCGAGGCGACAGCGCACAAGATGCACGAAGTCGACGATTGGTTTTACTCGAAAGAGCTACGTCTCGAAGGCGCGTCGCTCGAGGCCAATGGCAAGCAGCTCCTCGAAGACCAGCTCGCGCTCGAAGGCGACGCGCAAACCAAGAGCCGCACGGCCACGCAAGAGCTCGATGCGTACGTGACGGAGAAGCGCGCGGCGATGGCCAAGGAGATCGACACGTTCAACTTGATGCTCGAGAAGGAGCTCGTGAGTGCAAAGACGAGCAGCGCCGCAAAAGAAGTCGAGCTTGCCGAGGCCAAGCGCGCCAAGGAAGTCGAGTTTCTCGAGCTCCAAAAGCAAGCCAAAATCGACAACAATGGCAAAGTGCCGCCGATGCTCCTCAACGAACACCGCGCGTACCTCGCCAAGATGGACGACGACCGGTACAAAGCCCGCGACGACATTGAGAGCGCGGCGGCCGAGAAGGCCAAGCAGAAGCAAGATGCGTTCGACCGCAAGATCGCGCTCAGCGAACAAGGCATTCTTAACCGCAGCGCCCTCCACGCCCACCGACTGCTCGCGATCCGAAAGGAGATGATGACGTCGCTGCGGATGCAAGAGAAAACGTGGCAGAACAAGGCGACGAGCTGGCTCGAAAAGGCCACGCGCAAAGTCGCCGTCAAGGAGCAAGAGGACGCGGCGAATGCCCTCGCGGCCAAGAAGCGCAAGAAGGCCTAAACCTGATTCGATTTACATATGTTGTATCGAGCTATCGACTTGGTATCAACTTAATACAGTATGCTCCAACGCGAACACGAGACGACGGATGCGAGCTTGGTTGCGGTTGCGAGTATTACATTTCGATTAACTAAACGTGTGGCCATCAAAGTCGTCCGAGTCGGACGAGAAAAGACTGGCATTCGACTGACTACCAGACGTCGGGCTCGTCGCGTCGCTTCGGTTGAGGAGCGCGAGGAGGCCATGTATCTGTTTTTTGTAATCGAGGCAGCAGCAGTATTCGGGCGAGATGGCTTGGCACGGCTGCGGCGTCAAGAGCCGCTCTGGCGTCAAGCACGAGAGGTCCAAGCGTCGCCGGCAGTGGCCGTCGGCAGCGAATTGCGGCAAGCGCAAGCAGCGCTGGCACAGCTTCCAGTCGTTGTACTGCGGTGGGCATCGCCGCAGTGTCTTGCAGCCACGCGGCATGTACCGCTGACATTGGTAGCACGTGTTCTTGCGCACGCACGTCGCGACAAGCAGCCGCCGGTTCGTGCTGGGCTTGATGCGCGTCGGCGACACCTTGAGCTGCGAGCGGAGCACGCGATCCCACAGCGACGCGTCCATGAGGTGATAGAGATACCGGCAGCTGCTCGAGAGCGACAAGAGCTCGCTCGCGTCGAGAAACTCGGCGATCGCGACGAGGATCTCGCTCGCGGTCGTGAGCAGGCGCGACGCCCATATGTGGCTATGGACGCTCGGCTCGGCGACGACAATGAAGGTGCTGTAGGCGCGCGTGACCTTCCCGGCGCCGTCGGGCGGTCCCCGTCGTTTCATGCGCAGCAAAATAAGAAATCCACGTTCGATTGAATGCTGGAAATCGGACCAATCAGCGACGCGCTGAGCTGGAACCCAGTGGAACGCAATGTTTTAAAATGTGTTGAAATCCGCCGTCGTTTTATAGCATCTCCGATCGCTTTAGACTACATTTTGCTATGCAACGGGCCAGAAGGGACAATTAAAATACAATAAAATGCCGCGCTAGATCGCAGGGGTGTGTCACGTCGGCGACCGGCGAAGACAAGACAAGACGATGGCGTCCGAGAGCCACCTCCGCGTCCAGTACGAGTCGCTCCTCAAGGAGAACAAGCAGCTCAAGGGCTCGGTCGAGAAGCTCGAGCGCGAGAACCATGACCTGAAGCGCTCGGTCTATGAGCTCAGCCTCAAGTGCGGCGAGATGCGGCAAGACACGCCAGAAGCTGACGTGTGGCTAGGCTGGATGGCATCGCGCCGAGAAGCGCGCTGGCGACAACGGGCGCTGGCGCCATCGGTTCAGCGAGTGCCACTGGCGACGGCGGACCGGCCGTCTTTCGCATGAACGACCTCTTGGCCAAGGATGCGAGCCAGGAGAACGCCCCGTCGTACCTCGAGAGCATGGCGCAGGGCGGCGACGACGACGATCCGACCGCGCACCAGAACCGCGTGCTCTACCAGAAGTCCGAGCTGCGTGGTCATGGCGGTACGCCACAACGATGCAGACGAGGCGTGACGACGACGCGTCTAGGCGCTGTGTATACGACCAAGTTTTCGCCTTGTGGCCGCCTCCTCGCGTCGGGCTCACTGGATTGCCGCGTACTGCTCTGGGACATCACGACCAAGTTCAACCAGCAGCAGCTGGCGTCCCTCACGCAGCACAACCAACTCATCATCGACATCAGGTGCGTCATCGAGCATGCTCCTCTTGGTGCTGATGGGCGCCAATCTATTAGCTGGTCCAACGACAGCCGCTCGCTGCTCTCGGCGTCGTACGACCACACGGTGAACCTCTGGGACACGGACAAGGGCCAGCTCGTCAACAGTGTCGGCGTCAACGGCCTTGTCCAAACGGTCGCCTTCAACCCTGCTGGTACCTCCACCCATTCCGTGATGTGCCGTCGTCACCATTGCCGTAGACAACGACATGTATTTCATTGGTACGAGCCAGAAGAGCGTCCACGTGCTCGATGTCCGCGCCGGTCTTGCCTCGTACGTTGCTGCATGCAGCCCCGGCATCACATGCTTGTAGCTCGTGGGCCCATGATGCGATGGTCAACTCGCTTTACGTGACGTCCGACGGCCAGCAACTCATCACAGGCGATAGCAAGGTAGGTCGGCTCGCTCTCAAGTGCAAAATCATCATGCAAAACTCGTGCAGGGCTGGGTCAAGACGTGGGACGTGCGTGCGGGCAAGGTCATCGACGACCTCTCGCAGCTCAACGACGACGGGCATCATGCCATCTCGCACGTGCACGCGTCGCCGGCTGGCGATGGCCGCGGAGGCGACGAAGACGGGCGGTACCTCGCTGTCAACAGCTACGACAACCTCTTGCGTGTCTATGATCGGTACACCCTAAATGTCCACATTTGGCTCGTCTCAGATTCTGGTGAACTTCTAGCGGCTCCAAGCTCATTAGCAATACGCAGGGCGTGGACCCGATGCAGCTCAGCTACTTTGTTGCGGGTGCGATGCTGATGCGTGGATGGCCCCACACCGTATACGTTCTGTCCTGATCTAGGCCATAAGAATAAGAACTGGCCGATCAAGAGCTCGTTCTTCCGCGGCGAAGGCAACACGTACAAGCTCTCGCTGCCGTCCAACCGGTTCCCCAAGCGCAAGCTCACGGACGGCGACAACGAAGACCTCGGCTACCAAGACCGGTACCGTCGTGCCGTCGCGGGCCTCGGGTACAATGAATGTGCGTAGCGAACTGCAGGAGAAGCCCGACGAAGTCATGCTGCTCGCGACTGGCAGCGCCGACAACACGATCTACCTTCACGACGTCACGTGCCGCCGCGGCTATGGCCTCAACGGATCCACGAGCCTCCTCCAGCGCCTCGAAGGCCACACGGACCGCGTCTACTCGGTGGACTTTCACCCGAGCGAGCCAATTTTGGCGTCGGCGTCGGCGGATTTTACCGTCAAAATCTGGCTGCCCCGGACGTCGCGCCTGAACAAACCGTCGTAATCCCGTAATTTGATTCTCATGGTCGTATAATTCCGTCGCTCGACCGTCTCAAGGCAGCGAGGTCCATGGCTCCGAGGCCGCGGCGGTCCCGCAGGTAGAAACCCCGCCAATCGCGCTGATTGGTGGAAATACCCATTTATTAAAAACCTTTGCTGGAGCGCGCTATGCATACAAACACCAAGTCAAATGGCATCCGAATTAAACATTGCAAATTAGTGCAGTTTGGAGCTAGAATGATGGTCGAGGTGCATTTCGGAAACTGGCGGATGAGGCGACGGGGCGTGGACCGGCGAGCGCTGGCCTCAACGCTCTGTAGCCGCGAGGTAACTGGGGCGCCGGGCCGGCGCCAGCTCGAGGGCGACGTGACGCAGCTCATGCTGGCGGCGCTGCAGTGCCCCCGCGACAATGTCTTTTTCTGCCAGCAGGACGACGACCTGCAGCCCGTGCCACCGTTCCACATTGCGTTCAGCCAAGAAAAGATGGATGGCACGCTCCTCGCCGTGGCGGACGAAGAAGGCTGCTTGAGCTTCTACGCAACGCACGACCGGAAGGCGCTCTCGACGCACCACCAAGCGCACGAACATGGTACCGACATGCTCGCGTTCCTGAGGGCGCTCAGCAATTACTCATGTAGCGCCGCCCCTCGCCCGCATCGCTGCGCACGAAAATGCGATCTTTGACATGATCTGGTGCAACCGCGATGCGTACATCGCGACCGCGTCCGGGGACCAGCAGATTGGCATCTGGGACGTCGAAACTGGCGCGCACGTCTACCACCTGGCCGGCCACACGATGAGCGTCAAGTGCATCCGCCAGCACCCACTGCACCCGAGCGTCTTTGCCTCTGGCTCGCGCGACGGCAACGTCTTTCTATGGGACATTCGCCTCCCGCCGCCGCCACCGCTCGTTCCAGGCCCGGTCGTGCGGCGGACGGTCCGCCCTTTCACGGGCTGTGCGCGCTGCCACGACTACGAGGTGCCGTCGACCGACAAGCGCAAGAAGCGCCGCGTCTCGGTCGCCAACACGCAGCGCAGCGTCACATGCATCGAGTTTACGGGCGACGGGCACCAGATGATCTCGGCCGGCGCTGTCGACGGGTACCTACATACCCCATCACAAACTACCTCTTCATCCTGCGCTGTAGCCAAGTCAAGTTTTGGGACATCCGCCACCTCTTCCCGCCGTCTGCGTCGACGCCGCCCAAGATACCCCACCATGTTCGGTCGCTCGCCTGCCATGCGCCCAGTGGGCGGCGCTACGGCATCTCGTCGCTGTCGCTCGACCACACGCGGACAAAGCTGCTCGTGAGCGCTGCGAGCAATGAAATTCTCCTCTACGACCTCCTCTCGCATGCGGACGCGCCGGTCGCCAAGTACCATGGCCACCGCAACAGCTCGTTTTACGGTACCACCAAGTTTTCTCTAGGAGGAGTCTTAGCCTCTATCTCTAGTCAAGTCGACGTTTAGCCCGACGTCGCAGTACATTGTGAGCGGGTCCGTGGACCAGCGCGTGTACCTCTGGGACATAGCCAAGCCCGGGCTGCCCGCGCGCGTGCTCCACGGCCACGAAGGCGAAGTGAGCAGCGTCGCTTGGTGCAAGACGGACACGACCAAGCTCGCATCGTGCTCAGACGATGGCACGGTGCGGATCTGGACGATGCCGCCGCCGACGCGCCGGCCCGACGCGACGCCGTGTGGGCGCGGATGCGCGGTCGGCTTCTCCACCGCGTACGAAGCCCCATCAGCGATCGAGTTGCCGCCAGTAGTCGCCGACGACACGGCCTCGGACGAGACCGAGACGACGCCAGCGCCGTCGCCTGTTGTGGCACCGCCCGCCCCGCGCCCGCCACTGACGCTCCATCACTTTTGGCGATGAATGCATCCACTGCCGTATTTACTACGCCCGTGCAACTTGTGGTTTGGCTTGCGCCGAGAGATGCACGCAAGGATGGATCGCATGGGTTGCCTTAGTCCTCGTCGAGACACGAGCATGCACGAGACATAGAGGAAGGGACGCGTTACTGGAGCGCTAGCAAGCTGTCTTCGATGGTGCGAGACGGCGTCGCGTCCTTGATCTGGGAGGGCTTCTCCTTGGGCATGATCGGGTACGACGCGTCCGTCGCGATACCGCACTGGTTGTTCTTGTTGCGCGACATGAGGATGTAGCCTTGCATGCCCCAGCCCTCGCCCCACGAGTTCTTGACGAGCCAAAAGTCCTTGCCCTTGTAGTTGCCGTAGCCGGCGACGGCCACGCCGTGGTCGAGCTCGTCGTCCTTGTTCTTGCAGAGCGGCCACGAGAAGACGCCGTGGCGGTACAGCTGGAACATGAAGCTCGACGCGTCAATGGCCACCGAGATGACACCCGAGCTCGAGGCCGCCGTCTTGAGCGCGTCCTCGTCACCCGACGTAACGTTGGCGTACGCCGTAAAGTGGCCGATCGCTTGGTCGTCCTTGGCGTGGCACACGCCCTTGGACTCCATCGTGTACGGGTACACCGACTCGGGGTCGATCTTGCCGCCATGGTTCTCGATGATCTCAGTGAAGCCGTGGCTCATCTCGCCACCACGGTTGCACGTAGCGGTACCGCCGTCGCAGCAGTCGACGAGCTCTTGCTCCGAGAACGACTCGAGCTTTCCCGTGGTAAGCGCGTAAACGCTCTCCATGGACGCGACGGCCGAGAAAGCCCAGCACGACCCGCACATACCCTGGTTCTTGACAGGCGTAACAACGTTGTGCTCGCGCCAGTCCCAAGCCTCGGGCGCGAATTCATCCGCCGTGTGCGTAAACTTGGCGAGGCCACGCTTGCCCGTGCGCTTGTAGCCCAGGCGGCTCTTGTACTCCTCGTCCGTCAAATCGGCCAGCTCTACAACACCCCTGCATGAGGCCATGGTCCATCGCCGCAGCACGCGCCATACCGTTCAAGCCGAGCGTGAACGTCACTTCGCCCGCGTCGTAGCGCTCGTTGTGCTCCTCGATGCGGCGGAGGTTGGTGCGGAAGGCCTTGAAGCGCTTGGCGAGGAGCGGGTGGTCGTCGCCGTGGACGCGGTACGGCTTCTCATACTCAGCCATGTACTGCACGAAGGCCGTCATGTCCTTGACAGCGGCCATCTCATGGAGGTCATGCGAGCTGCCACGGACGCTCGTCCAGGCGGCCGCCACCAGCGCCGAGGCAAGGAACGCGACTGTCTTCATTCTGCTCAAATCTTCAACTGACCTGCGTGAAGATCCCCAGGCCAGCGTGGGATCTTTTTCAATTCGAGCCGCGGGGTTGGCTAAAATGCAGCTGACAGTCGGCGCCATTGGCTAGATGCCCGAATAAGCGTACGTTTTTAGCCAATAAAAACGGTCGCGTCGTCACCCCACATTCCTTCTCTGTGACCTCATCAGGTTGAAGATCAAATAATTGCTGGTACGAGCCAATAAGAACGCACCATTTAAACATACGGCCATCCAATTGGCCAAAATGTGCAAGCCATATCTTTAGGATGCTCACCTGGGAGCCAGTTGCTTGGCACGTGCCACGGTATCGAGAAGGCAGGAGCTCGAAGGACCTTTGCATGCTGCTGCACATATAAGTATTAAGGATAAAGGCAATGAACGAAGAGCAAGGTGCTCTCTTGCCAGAAGTGATCTCTGAGAGATACATTATAAGCGTACTTTAACGAGACCAAGCAACATGAGTGGATCATTGGCAATCGCACTTTAAGAAATATATGAAACTACATATTTCCCAATCGCACTTCAACAAGACACTCGTACTTTAGAGAGTCGAAAGGCTCTGTCGTGGCCACTTTGCGGCCATGCTTGTCGGGCGCACTTGGAGAGTTGTCGCGCAGTCGGCAAGTCGCAAGCCATTGCAGATCGCGTCGCGTAGCATGTCGTCCGAAGCAGACAAGGCCCGCGCGGCCGCCGAGCCCAAGCCGAACGAGCTGACGATCTTCGACAAGATCATCAACAAGGAGATCCCGGCCAACATCATCTTTGAGAACGACAAGGTCCTCGCCTTCCGCGACATTAGCCCGCAAGCGCCGACGCACGTCCTGGTCATCCCCAAGGTCCGCGCCGGCCTCACGCGCCTCATTCGCGCCGAAGAGAGCCACAAGGAAATCCTCGGCGAGCTGCTCTACACGGCGTCGGTCGTCGCGCGCAATGAGAACCTCGAAGACGGCTACCGCATCGTCATCAACGACGGCAAGAACGGGTGCCAGTCCGTGTACCACTTGCACCTGCACATTATTGGCGGCCGCCCGCTCGGCTGGCCCCCGGGGTAAGCCATTTCGTACTACGTGGTGCACGCACACAGCTCGATTCGGCCATGTAGCATGGCTCTCTCCGCCTTGTAGGCCCTTGTACACACCACCTCAAACAGGGTTAATCTGGTGCCAGTAGTATCAACGTATCGCACAGTCACATCGATACTCGTCTTGCTTGATCCGTGCAGTTCATACTGCCATCGCCAGGCTAGCTCAAGTGAAAGGGCTCCAGCACCAACCCAACATATATAGGTAGTCATCGCGCCCATCGAGCGCTCTGCTACAGCGCAGCCTCTTGGCGTGAGCCGCCGAAAGAAACGAGTGCTCGTGGGCTGGCTAAGAGCTTGGCTGAGTACTCGGCCCTTGGTGTGCTCGAGTAGTTGGCGTGGTCGCTCCACATCACGCAGCAAGGAGTTCGACGCGCGTGCGGCAACAGTTGGCATACCAGCGCGGGGTTGCTACGCCTGCAATGTAGTACTGCTACACTGGCCTACGGTGCCATTAGCTTCTGCAGCGGTGGCGCCATGTAACTCATCCGCCAACGTCGTCGATACCGGCAAGATGGCGACGTCGATTGGTCCGCAAACAAACGGTCCGTCGTTTTTTGGTTCAGCGCGCGTGTCGCACGCCACATTGCCTTTTGCACAACGAAGCATGGTGCTCGTGCTCCGCGACGAGTGCTCGCTCGTGCTCGCGTGGCTCGTCGAGGGCCTCTGCCTCCTCCCCGCGCTCGCACTCACGTCGGCCGAGAACGCGGTCATCGTCTTTGGCGTCTTTGCGCTCGCGTCGGGCGCCGGGCTCCTCCTCAGCTTCTCGTCGACCTGCCGCCACCGGCGCGCGTGCCAGTTTCTCCATGCGGGCTATATTGCCTACATCTTTTACACGCTGCAGCTGCTCTTCGTCACGGTCGTTGGCATGAGCATCTACAACTTTCTGCTGCCGTTTGACGCGGGCGCCGAGTTCCGCTTCTACTGCGCAGAGCTCCACCTGGACAAGAACCTCTCGGGCACGTCGTGCGCGCAGCTTCAAGGCCGCTTGGCGCTTGCGCTCGTCGTCTTGACGCTCGACGCGTGCGTCGGCGTGCTCATGCTCGTGCTCGGGCAGCGCATTGCGCAGAAGCAGCACATTGAGTACACGCGCGTCCAGAAGGAGATTGAGAAGGCCAACCAGTCGCCGAGCCGGAACAGCTTGCTCGGTCACCACGTGTAACTCGGTTGTATTCCATAGACGCTTTTTCCATCATTTCCCAACGTCGACACTCTGCTCGGCAGCACTAACAGCGATGGACACGGGACAGGATAAAGGAGCTCTAGTACGAGGATATGGGCGATGGGCGCGGCGCAGAAGAGTCCAAGGACGCGGGCAGACGCGGAGGATCGCGAGGCAACGCACGACGAGACGTGTCTTCTATTGTCGAGTTGCTTGGCTACAAAATATCAAAACAGAAAGCGCCTCAAGCGCGGTAGCGGCGGATAATACGAGCCACGCGGGGCGTGACCATGAGCGTGACAGCGAAGCGCAGCGGCTCGGTAAACTTGGTCGCGACCCAAGCGATCAAGAACGCACTCGTCTTCGAGTTGACCTCGGGGATGTCGAGGTACTGACCAAGGCCAATGGCGTTGGTCCAATCCATCATGCGGTTCGTCGCCGTGAGAATGTTGAGCGACGACTCGTCGTCGGGCGAGGCCGCGTCGCCCTCCTTGCGCGGAACTTCCTTCTTCGTCGAGAGGACGCCCGTTTCGATCGCCGCGTACATGGAGCCGAGAACAATGCCATAGATCGTCAAGTACGTGCCCACGGCCACAAGGCCATACTGCTTCCAGAGGTCCTTGAAGCGGCCAAAGCTGGTCGGCTTGGCGACGGCGCTGGGCTTGATGGCGCTGCCACTGCTGCAAAAGCGGAGAATTGGGTTCGCAAAGTGCATTGGGCGCGCCAAGGCCATGGGTGCAGACGTCTTCCAAGCATGCAGCGGCCGGGCATGGACGGCGCCGGCGCGGGCCACGCGGGGCACGAGTCGCGTCACAAACATGGGCAGAATACTGGACTGGACGAAAACCACAAAAACGAACGCCGATGATGTCGAAAAAGGCAACCAATCATCGATGTCCAAGTCAGTAATATGCACCAATCACACGCGTTTCTTTTGTATCTTGAACTAGTGTTAGCGAATCTTGCATTGCTGCCATCGCCACAACCGTTGCCCCCCACACACACCACCCTACCTTTGCGCGCGGTGATATCTACAGTCGAGCATGCACCGAGCGTGTAGACGCTGTGGCGCATTCTCAACGAGGACAGTCCATCCTTGTGTGCAGACACGCAGAGAAAGTTCAATATACACTATATTAAACGCATACTATTTCAAAATACGGCTAGAAACACCCACCCACGTGATCGCCGTGGCTTTGGCAACGCGTGCATGGGATTATGACAAGCCCACAGAGACTATTGAAGAGCGCTGTGCTCGTCTTTGAGCTTGAATCACGCAAATGGCCAGTGCTGGATTTTGCCGACCGAGTATCTTGCCTTCAACTGAGACCAAGATGTCGAGCGACCAAGCTGCTACCTTGGCACAAGATATGCTGAGTCTGCAGCACAACAGAGAACGCCCTATATGCTGATCTCTACGTCGCGACATTGGGGCCGACGTTACCGAGCGCGACAGCGTTGGGCCGCTTTCAACGGGCACAAGACCACGTGCAGTGCAGTGCTTTACACAGTGTGAACCCAAATGCGGGGAACCCACCATGAGTGGTGACGGAGCAAGCTGCGCTTGATCTATTGCTCGCGACAAGCCTGTTACATCCACGGTGCTCGTGCACCCACTCATCTCGCCGGCCCAGCTCACACTGCCAAGGTACTACCGTGCACGAGAGGCCTCGTCGACGCAAAGCGTTGACCGGTGGTCCTCGCATTGTGCTTGGGATTGCCTATGAAATGGGTGCGCCATACAAGGTGCAAGTTGGCGCTGACGTGTAGCGAGCAGGTGCGAGCGCTCGACCATATGGGTTTCTAAAATCGGTGGCCAACGCCAGAGCCAGAGAAAACCGAGCAGCGAGAAGACAGCCACGAGGAAGAAATGCAAGACGCTCGATTACCAAGAGGTTGTTAACGGCGCGATGCAAAGTACATGTAGTGCGCGCGGCACTGCACGCGTGGTGCTTGTCGTGGGGGCGTGCGAGTCAATACGAAATGACGTCGCCGCTGTAAAACATGGTGCGCTGAGGTATATCGCGCGGGCTCGAGACGCGGCGCGCATGGGCGCGGCGCTTGCGCTCGTTGATCGCGCGCGGATCAAACTTGGGCACGCAGATAACGTAGACGTCGCCGTCCACGTCCGAATCGGTCTCGGAAGCGTCGTCATCGTCGTTGGGTGGGAGGCTGCGCAGTATCTTGGCCGTCGCCTTGCAGTCGCTCGTGCAGTAGACGCGGTCGTCGTAGGACATGTAGGATGCGGCGCAGTGCGGGCAGCGCGAGAGGCGGCGGCTGAACGAGGCGCGAAGAGGATCCGTGGAGACAGCCATTGCACGGTCTTAGCTGTCGAGCATGCTCGAAAGTTGGAAAATGACCACTCCGATATTTCCGTATTTTTTCTTTTTTCAGAGGATTTGCATGTCCACATCCCCTCTCCCACGCTCGACCCGTGAGGGCCAACAGCCGGCCACGCAAATAGTGTAACTACCAACCCCGGGCACTTGTTCGGCCTGTCGCCGCGCCGTGCGCCGAGTCCTCAAGGTTCGCATGCACCTTCGCTTGCAGAGGCCTCTGCGTCAACGGCAGCGTCAACGGCAGCGGCGCGACACTGGTCCGTCAAAGATCGTGTTGGGAATTCGCTGCGACAAAAGCTGATCGAAGAAACAGCACGCGGCCGAGCACGCGCGACGCGCGCGGCTGTCACCAAGCGCGCTCGCAGTAAAGAGTAGCAGCCACGGACCGACAGCACGACGCTGTGAGTAGCGTCCCAGGTCGCGCCCATCACGTAGCATCTACACTATTTGCGCTGGATACACTATTGCGGGAACATGCAGCGACGGCTCCCGGAACTCGGATATTCCACCGGTTGCTGGTTGCCACATTGAAATTTTGATATGAGAGGCAAACTTGGGATGTGAGCTACTCCTACGTACTAGTAGTAGACGGACGGTGGTCGTATGCGGGATGGGCTCTACGGCGCGTACTCGCGCGTGGCCACGGGGAACGTCATCTCCACGATGCCTTCGATGCCGGCCGTCACCACCTACGCAACGCAGCTTCATGGCATGTCGATCAAGAGCGCGTACGTTGCCCGGCTCGACGGGACCGACGCCTTCCGGTGTGCCCGTGATGATCATATCGCCTTCCTCCAGCGTCATGATGCGGCTAGTAGGAGGCAGCGATGTGTGGGCCCACACCAACACTCACAAAGCCCACCTGATGTGGGACAGGAGGAACGGGATCTTGTGCACCATTTCGCCCGTGTTGACGCGCTGGCGCTCGACGCCATCGACCTTGAGCCAGATCTCCACGTCGTGCGGCGACGGAATCGAGGACGTCGGGACAAAGTCGCTGATCGGCAAGAAGGTGTCGAAGCATTTGGCCGGCGTCCACGGCAAACCGCCCGCCTTGGCCTTGCTCTACGCAGTCACACGATAGATCAAAGAGAGATACGAGTGCACGCTTGGTACCTGCAGGTCGCGCGCTGTCATGTCGATCGCCACGACGTACCCTGCGACGTGCTTCTCCCAGTCCTCCTCACGAATGTCCTTGCCACCCTTGCCAATCACGACACCGAGTTCGACTTCGTGGTGCACCGACCCAATGTGCGCCGGGAGCTCGATCGACTCGCCAGCGCGGGCATAGCACGTCGTCGGCTTGAGGAAGATGACGGGCTCCTTGGGCGCATGCGTCGCGCCCATTTCGCGGGCGTGGGCCTCGTAGTTCTTGCCAATGCCCACGACCTTCTTGCTAGAGATGCCACGTCATATACTTTGTGTTGGCGTCGCCGTCATAGTACCCGACGCGGATCAGCGTGTTGCCGAGGAACTTGGCCATCGCTCGTTTTCAGAAATGGCCTCTTTGTTAGGCAACAAGGCTTTACGGAGTCGGCCGCATTGGCTATGTGCACGCAACGTTCCATATGAATACGTCAAGATGATGCAGGTATCTGCTGTACAATTGTGTGTTTCTAGTCATGACCACATGGTCTAGCGGCACTCCTGTTATAACACTTGCCCGATTTTCTCCGGATACCACGAAATATCAGCGATTCCCAAAATACCGAGATTGCATCTTTGGCGCCACGATGCCATCGCCGCCACCGCTGTCGCGTCGCATGACTGCGATGACGGGCACGCAAGGCGACCACCTTCACGAGACCCAGCGGCGACCGCTTCGATCGTCCGCTTCGTGCATCCTCCTGCGCGAGGTCGACGTGCCAAAGAAACAGAAGAAGCCTCGGACTGCGTCGTCGGCCTTTCTGGGCCTCGACATGAAGCTCGTCGACTTGTGTCGGTCCAACGACGCACTGCGCCGGCGCGTTGCGCACCTCTTTATGACACACGGCGAGTACGCCGACTCGGACGCGGGCGACGACGACGACCTCGAGCTCGTGCCTGGCCGCGCTACCGTGGTCAAACGTAGCAATGAAAATGAGATCCTCGCCTTGCTCCACAAGCAGAATGCGCAAGGTCTCGGCGCAAGTGGCACCGCACTCCACCCGAGCATTCAACGCGCCAAGAGCGACGTGGCGCTGCCAATCGCGATCGACGATGACGTGGCGAAAGCTGTGCAGCACGATATGATCATGACGGTTCCGTCGGTACATCATCGTCATTGCCATTAGTTTAGCCAAAAGGGCAAATGATTCGCAGGTAGCGTGGACAGCCAAGTTTGAAGACGCCTACATGCGTTTCAAGCGCGGGCGTCCAAAAGCCAAGCTCAACTCGGTCCAGGTCTTTCGCTCGTACTTGATGACGCCCGAGTTCCGCGCGCTACATGCAATGACGTACGGCGCCACGCGCTTTCACGAAGACACGACAGGCACATTTGCAAACGACGAGACCGACCACCCGCTTCACCACGGGCTTCAAAAACGGTTTGACAATTTGATGGACTCGACGAATCTCATGACGAGAGTAGACTTAGCAAACTCACGCCGCCGATGCGCTCCTCCTTGGAGCTATCGCTCTCAAACCACATGCTAGAAAACTTTGACCACCTTCTCGACATGTATACGTCGGCGCGCCGGGACTTTCTCGCACAAATGACACAGTGCGGGAAACGCCAGCGCCACGCGGCGCGGCAGCTCAAAGAGGCCAAGCAGCGCCTCGAGTCGCGCCGCGCCGACGTCAAGAAGGACGTTGCCAAAACACGTGCGATGCTCGGACACCGCGTCATCGCCGCCCGTCTCCATACGCCGCGGGACCCCGCGCACATTGAAGGCAGTGACAAGCACGCTGTGACGATGATTGTGTCCGCCTCCAAGCGCGCCGCCGCCAAGTCGTGGAAAAAGATCAAGGAGGCAGAAAAGTGCAATGTCGCGAGGAGCCTCCAGCTCTCGATCGAGTACGCCAAGACAACAACGATCGAAGGCGGCGGCCTTCCGACGCGCGCCCTCTGCCTCAAGTACTCGCTATCGAATGACGTATTTCCATGATCAATGGGAGCTAGGCAGCAGCGCGCACTCACACACCACATCGTGTACATCCAGCGCTTGTACCGCGGGCACATGGCGCGCCGCTACGTCTACTCGCTCAAGTGGCTCTTCTTCATGTGGCGCCACCTCTTTTTTCCGTCCACGGTGCTCCCAAAGGACTCGGTGTACGGCTTTATGCACATTGACGACTTTGAAGCGAGTTTCGAGTACTTTTACTACCAGTCGTACGGCCTACGAGAAATGAGATGTTGACGCTAAGTTTGTCATGCGCAGGAACGCCGAGCGCGTCTATATGGCGGGCTTTGCGCTCACCGTGCCGCCGTCCCGCCTCGGCGGACAGTTTGTCGAGTACCATCGTTTCAAGCGGTAGACAGATACAATTGTCGATTGTCTGGGATAGATCGTCGTAGGTACTGGCTGCGCTTCATGTATCGCGCGTCTGGGCCCGCCGACATGGTGCGCTTTGTGCAGTTTGTGCGCAACCGCGAAGCCATTATCCACTCGATTGAGATCCAGGTAGACTGCCACGTCATCACATTGCACTTCAAGGTCGTACACACCCGGATGCTATAACGTTATCGTAGAGACAAGAGCACAGCGAGGCGCGCACCTCGACGCTGAGCTACCTGACGCAGATTGACGACTTCAAGAAACTCAACTACACCAAGCGCCGCGACGACCACGCGCACCTCAAGTACCGCACCGACTTGGCGGTACAAACCGACGAACACCGGTCGCTGACGCTGCGTGCACGGCGCGCGCTGCTCCCGTCCTATCAACAACGCGCAAAAGGCTGGGCGCTCCTCCGCCACATTGTCACGGGCAACGCGGCGCGAAGCTTCAAAGTCCATTCGTTTCGCGGTGTCGTCGTCCAAGTCGCCGAGGTCGAGGGTCTCACGCAACATAAGAATATGCTGCTCGACTTGCCCGCACCCGCCGAGTCGTTGTCGCCAGTGCGCCGCGTCGCCCGGCGGCGCGCCAGCGTCGTCTCGTCCGTCTTCGACGTCGACCCTGCAGTGCTTGACGCTGCTCTGGGCTCGCGTCATCCGGGTCCGAGCAACCGATTTGAGCGGCATCTGAAGCGCCTGGGCATACTCGCCAACGACGCGGTAGTGCTCTGCGGCTACTACACGGCCGTGGGTCTCAACGACATTGGCGATGATGCGCCGCCACCGCTTTGCGTGTCGCGGCTGGGGCGCATGAAGCATCTGCACGGCTGCACGAGCATTCCCGACCTCCTAACCAAGCAGGGCGAGCGCCACGCGGGGTTTGCGCACCTGTTTACGGCGTTTGAAGCCGCTTGCGCCGCCGACGTGCCCGAGAACGTCGCGGTCTTGGCGAGCTTGAAGAGCTACTTGAACGACTCGATGGAGCTTTTAACGTTTGTGCGGCAGCAGCTCGCGGCGCTGCGCCCGCCAAAGCCTGTCGTGGGGGCCGCGATGATTGCGCTGCAGCGAACCAAGCGCATCGAGTGCTACAACAAGCTCCTCGAGCAGTTGGACACAAATGTCCGCGCCGTGCTCGACAGCATGGACCGCACCAACGCCAACGACGACGACGAAGACGACTCGATTACCGCGTGACGCGCGCGACACGACGCAGAGGAATTAAGAAATTCATCCGCCGGGTTGTCTATGGTCGCCTTTTTCCGAGACAAGTGCTGACGCCAGAGACGCGCCAAGGGCAATTTGATCTCCAAAGATGCGCAGATCTGCGTGGTGTTGTCCAACGCGAGTGTACGTCGCGCGTCAGAATCATCACATCACTGTCGTCGAGCGACCAGCAATGTCGTATGGTCGTTAGCTATGTACGCTACAAGGCTAAAGCTGAGCTCTAGAAGCTCTGAAGCTGCTCTAGCTGCTAGCTTGAGCTGCTTCCAGTAGGTACGGTGCATAAAGTACAGGTAGCTCGTGCCGCAGGTTCCGAGTGTCCATGGATGCCAGTCCGAGAGGTCCGAGAGGCTGCGATGGCGCCAAGCAGCGTCTTCGTGCGAAGTTGAAGCCAGGGCGCCGCCAAACCGGTCGACCAGTATATCAGTGCGATCCTAGCATTGCAACCGAGACGCCCAACACCTCGCGACCATCTCGCCCCACGAGTTCGCACCGCGGGTCAACGCCGGACCAAGCGTGCGACACCGCCAGCTGGCGATCATGTTCTTGTGGCGGCCACATCCTGACAGTCGCGTATAATATGCTAGAGGTTGGCTGCTGGTATATACTTTCTAGAGTCTCTGAGTACCTCTCTTTTCTAATATTTGACGGGCCTTGGCTAAAAAAAGAGCGCTGGATTTTAATGTCGCATTTTTTTCTTTTCACCAAACTGCATACATTTTGCGAGTCAGAATTGCATTCGAAAAATAATCTCGGAATAGAATGGCCGCGACAGCGTGGCCAGTTGGATTTAAATTAAGCAGCTGGGCGCGATTACCAAACCGATTCTCTGGCGCTAAAATGGAGTCCCAGTTCCGCTTTCGCTTCATCGAGCCAAAGCAACCTCCGCGCAAGCGACCTCCCTGAACACCACCACCACCAGCACCACCACCAGCATGAGTGACTCTGATGTCGAAACGAGCGTCCATGGCGGCGTCTACCACCGCGGCAACTTTGAGTACAACGGCGAAGGCATGATCATCGGCTTTGCCACCGAGCGCAAGGACAGCTCCGACCTGAGCCCGACCTGTGGCAAGCGCAAGCTCCGGTGTGGCAACTGCGGCTGCAGGACACACAAGACGGTCGACTGCGCGTTCCTCACCGACTCGGAAAAGTCGTCCAGCGACGACGCGCCGCTCGAGTGAACCGGCCACGCCTAACTTATAGCTACTTTAACTTTATTACCTACTTCTCCTGTACTTTTGCAGCGTGTTTGCCTCTTGGCCGTGGAGATCGTCGGCGTCAGCATACTGTAGTGTCCGGCGCGAACAGATCTTATTCCTACTGGTACGTAGGAGGCGGGGTGCTCGGTGACCACCGAGTCTGCCGTTCAAGAGCCTCCGGTATCCGGTCGTGTTTTTGTCGCTGGGTCGAGGGTGCTGCAGACGTGGCGACCGGTCCTGGATGATTGACACGTCATCTCCATCAACCTGACGACGATGTACTCTTCGGACCTTGCCGCTCCATCCAGCGGCGCCTTGTTTATCTAACGACGGCATGGTGTTTGAGAAAAGATGGGAACGAGGAACACGAATGAACGGTGCGCGATTTCCGCTGAAGCTAGTCGGGTGGTTTGCGAGCCGCGCCTCTACTAGCTTACTAGAAGAGGACATTTTATTTGTCCGTCGATGCAGCATGGGAAGGCGTCCCGTTCGAAGCCGCGAGCTACAGTGTTCAAAGAAACGAGGTCGGTGTTGACGACACGTTGCAAAATCTGAAATTCCGAAATTCTAGAAGCGCGCCGTACCACGTGGCGTCGGATCGCACACGTCTCTGCGGCCAGATTTCGATCAAAGAGTACAGAATTAGTCCATTGTTGGTCTGAGCTAACCATCTTCTATGGACGCGTCGCCAAGAAATGTGAAAGCGACGCGCTGGGTTCGACTCCAGCCAGCGCGTGCACCAGCGGCGCGCCCATCAAATTCATATGACGACGTTCATTGGTCAGCTAACTTGACATGAAGC